AGATAAAGGGTGATTGAGAAAGGGAGAGAGAGAGAGAGAGAGAGAGAGAGAGAGAGAGAGAGAGAGAGAGAGAGAGAAAGAGAGAGAGAGAGAGATTAGAAGAAGAGAAACAGATGGATATAGCGAGTGGGATTAAGGTAAAAAAAAGACAGTGGCACAGAGATAGAACGAGAGAAAGAAAGAAATTAAGATTATTATTATTATTAGTGAAATATAATCTAAGATAGTAAAAGGAAAAATGAAGTGAGAGAATAATGTATGATAGAAAAAGAATATGAAAACCCAGATAGTAAGATAGACAGATAGGTAGATAGATTGATAGATAGATAGACAGATAGAGGATGATTGAGAAAGGGAGAGAGAGAGAGAGAGAGAGAGAGAGAGAGAGAGAGAGAGAGAGAGTGATTGGAATAGATGAAAAAATATGAAGTTTTATATATAAATCTTCCTAACTGGAAGGTGTTATATACATAAATAGATACATAGACAGACAGGAACTGAGAAAGAGAAAGATAAGGATAAATATGAGAATGAGAATGGGTGGGAGAGAGAGAGTGATTCGAAAAGATATAAAATGTGATAATTGAATAATAATAAATCTACAAAATGGGAGGTACAATGTAGACAAATAAGTATATGGCTGAAAGCAAAAGAAATGTTAAAGTGAGGAGAAATGGTGAGAGTGAGAAAAAGAAAAACTGGAGCCAGAAGAAAAACGAGAAGCTAGAAAAAGGGACCGTAAGAAAGAAAACGCGAAGAAGGACAAGAAAAGACAGAAAGAGGGACGAGATAAGAAGAAAGTGAGAGCGATAGAGAAAAGAAAAGATATATAGAAAGACTGATTGGAGGATGGAAAAAAATAAATAATGTATAAAGCTACATAAATAAATTAGATATATAGACAAAGAAGAAAAAAGAAAAACGAGAATGAGTGTTGTGGGAGAGGGAGAAAAAACTTTATGGAAAAAACGTGAAGATAGAAAAAGAGAAATGTAGCATACAAAATAAATAAATATATGGCTGAAAGCAAAAAGAATAATAAAGGAAGAAATGGTGAGAGTGAGAAAAAGAAAAACTTTATGGAGTCAGAAGAAAAACGAGAGCCTAGAAAAAGAGAAATACAGTAGACAAACAGAGAAAAAGAGTGAGAAAGAAAACGTGAAGAAGGACAATAAAGACAGAAAGAGGGACGAGAGAAGAAGAGTGTGAGAGAGATAGAGAAAAGGAAAGAGATATAGAAAGACTGATTGGAGGATGGAAAAATAATAAATAATGTATAAACCTACATAAATAAATTAGATATATAGACAAAGAGGAAAAAAGAAAAAAATCAGAATGAGTGTTGTGGGAGAGGGAGAGAAAACTTTATGGAAAAAACGAGAAGACGAGAGGGAAATAGTAAGAATAGAAAGAGATTGTGTGAAACCAAGTTAATGAGAGAGAATAAAAATCGAAAAAGATAATGATAGATAAACAGAATTAGCGAATCATCATTTCATGTAGAGTCGTCAAATCATACCTCCAATAAAATTAAAATACCAACAAACAACAAAACTATTTAGTTTACTATTTAACCATTTGTTCGTAATTATCAGTTATTCAACTATCATGTACTAGCTCGATTAGAGCTACCTATCTGACTGCCCGGCTCTACTACTGATTATATACTGATGTATCAATATAGTCTGTAGGTGATAAACATGTTATCTTCGAGATTTTTATTTTGTTCCATCTTTACATGAAATTTATGGCCTTTCAGAACAATTTTTGACCTGATCACTCTCAAATAACTCTTTGAAGCTGATGTTAGTCGATAGGTTAGAACACGCTTAATTTTTCTAAGGGTTAGTATCTTTGTTCATATCCAAAACATCAAATCTAAGGATTTTTTTTCAGTGCATTTTATATGAATAATGTCCGTTTTTTTATCGAGATAATCGATGCTACTAAATCAACGGCTTTTTTTCTCTTTGTCAATGTTTGTCCAAGGATCGCCAAAAGAAGCGGCAGTCCGGAATGAGCTGCATAGGCGGAAGTGTCGCCCGTTTGGATAAGGACTTGTTGTGAAAGGCACCTTGCTGATAAGGACAATATCTTAATAACCTTAGCATTCGACATTCTCGTCCTGGCGATAGGGCACGTATCGCTTCGTTCGCCCACCCATTTACAAACACTTGTTGAAGAGTTAGCGTTGTACTACCCGTCTTGCCGAGCTTGTCGGATCGACGTAAGTTTCAGCTACTTAATTGTATATGTTAACTGAAATGTGGTTTTTTTTTCCTGAGCGATCTTCACTTTAATGTGCTGTTTCTCTCTAATTTGATCACTCAATCACAAAATATTACAAATCTCTGTTTCCAACTGGATTCGTTTGTTCATGAATTAATGAAAATTCTTTCTTAATCACATATTGTTAAATGTTTATCCGTATGAATTTTTTTTTTCATTTAGTACAAGGTAGATTATTTTTAAAATAAACAAAATTATGCATTTAGACTAGTTGTTAGTTTCCAATTTATTTTTCAGAATTAAAGGGGCAAAGTATGGTCAAAATGTTTCTATCCTGTTTTTTTAGCGAGTAAATAATCATAATTAGACAATCCAACGATTTTTGTTTTCGTTCGAAAATAAATGTCAAATGGTTTAAAGCTAAATTAAATACAATATAAAATTTGAGAGTTAATGTTTTACCTGTATTTTGTAAATTTACATTTTTATTTCTACGACGATGATTGTTTACACAAATATAAGGTTATATCAAAAATTAGAAATGTTAATATTAGAAATATATTTTTTATTTTAATCCAATTCGCAAAAAGCTTTCTTTATCTTTGTCTGGAAAACAATTTCAAACTATTTTACACTTAGAAGTAAATATTTATGGTCCACAGTTTTCGCTCTTTCTTTTCTTAAGGGGTGACCACAGCTTTCGCCATGCCACTTTTTTTTACTTTTATTACTTACTTGTTACAAAAATTGTGGGTAGTAATATTTAATAAACAAAAAATAAGAAAACCAATGGACGAAAAAAATTGTTTTAATTTCCATAATTTATTCAAAAATATAAAACAAAATTTTGATTTAAGCCAAAAGATACTGCACTCAATGCTTGCTCACAAATAGCTGAAACAAAAAACAAAAAATATTATAAAAAAATAAATAAAAGAATATAAAAAAGAAACGGTGTAAAAAGTGCTTACGGGTTTATTCCTGCTTTGACTGCTGATGCATTCCATTTGGTCCGCTCCACGATCTCTATAGTCTTCCAGTGCTTTATGCACTGCAGGCAAACCCCCATGTTTGTGTAAAAAAGGGCCAATTGCATAAAATACATTTTCTAATTGTTCATTGCCAAGAATCGCCGTTATTTCGTCGATCGACAGATACATGAATTCTTCTTTAAGTTCGCGATCAACTCCACTGCAGTTATCCGTGATTTTGTCCAACTTGATCTTTTTCAGTTCTTCCAATGAAAATTTATTACCTTGCTCATCATAAACCACACCTTCTTCTATCTCCTCTTCACCATCCCTCCAATATTTCCTGCTGATAAACCAACTCGCCGCACCAACTAATGCTGCAGCTGCAGCGACGATTATACCAGTTTTACCACTTAATGAAAACATTATTTGACAATATCAAAAATATTTCAAATAACACCGAAAATCATCACCATAGAAACGACAAGTAAAAATACCAAATAAAATAAATTCTAATTTTTTTTTTACATCCACAATTTTTATTTTACTTAATGCCTCTTTTTTTTCGAAGCCCATTTGTAAGTATGTCGGGTTATTCGAACCCCGGACCTTTACCTTACAGTGATGAGCACCTTGCCAACGCCTAAACCCCCACGGACGTTAGAGAGAGGCATGTTGAGCCGAAGGTCGTGGGTTCGAATCCCGCTCGTGACACTAACTTTTTCATTTCGATCAAAACCTTACATAAAAAGAATAATTAATTTAAATAGAAATAATATTATATGTATATATTACGGAATTAATTCAATTTTTCAACAAAAAAAAATTACTTGAGTATTAAAAAAAGTGAAGAGTAAAGGAGAATTTTGTGTATACTTACTTGAATATATTTAGTTAAAATTTTTAATCAAAAATAATATGAAGTAAAATATGGAAATGCATACGTATACATGCATACACATACAGAAGTGCAAGTTAAATAATTTAATAGTGATTTAACTTAAAATGTATATATAATAATTTAAGTTTTAAAATGTGTGCAAACTCGACTGTAGAGTTTTAAAAAAATCTACTAAAATGCGGAAAGTTAACCGTTTGAGGATCTTTGAGGATCCACCAAAATCTCATTGGAAATTTTAAGAATTTTCTCTGTTTTTCATGTAAGCGCAAGGATAAACTCCAGACTCGCAGAGGATAAAGAGGGAACACATTATAATATAAAATTATATGTTACGGAATTAATCCAATTTACAAAATATGTTTAAATAAATAATAACAATGTAAGAGAAAAATTAAGAAAACAAAGGAAAACAATTTCTTAAGTATTAAACATTATGTAAAGTAAGAAAATAAAAAAAGAATGTTTCATATGAATCTACCTAAACAAAATCACATTTATCATTGTTATTTTAAATTTCAATTAATTAAGGTTTTTAGTTGAGATAAAAAGTCAGTGTCGCGAGCGGGATTCGAACCCTCCACCTTCGGCTAGATACTCCGCTGCTTTACCAATTGAGATATCGTGACTTCTATTCACTCTGACCAGTGAACCATCCCGCTCGTGACACTAAATTTTCATTTCAATACCTTGCATAGAGATTAATTAATTGAAATTTGTTGTATACATTTAATACCGCAATCATTACAATTCAATTCGTAAACCCTGCTTTATGACCAGTTGTCAACTTTATTTTTAGATTTTGAGATGTTTCTAAGCGACACTATTACTTGTTACAAAAATTGTTGGTAGTAATATTTAATAAACAAAAAATAAGAAAACCAATGGACGCAAAAAATGGTTTTAATTTCTATAATTTATTCAAAAATATAAAACAAAAATTTGATTTAAGCCAAAAGATACTGCAGGCACTGTTTGCTCACGAATAGCTGAAACAAACAAAAAATATTATAAAAAATAAATAAATAAAAGAATATAAATAAGAAACAGTGTAAAAAGTGCTTACGGGTTTATTCCTGCCTTGACTGCAGATGCATACCATTTGGTCCGCTCCACGACATCTCCATAGTCTTCCAGTGCTTTATGCACTGCAGGCAAACCACCATTCTTGTATATAAAAGGGCCAGCAGCATAAAAAACATTTTCTAATTGTTTATTGCCAAGAATCGCCTGTATTTCCCTGTTCGGCACTTCCATGAAGTCTCCTATAAGTTGGCATTTAACTCCTCTGCAGTTACTTTTGATTTTGTCCAACTTGATCTTTTTCAGTTCTTCCAATGAAAATGTATTACCTTGCTTATCATAAACCACACCTTCTTCTATCTCCTCTTCACCATCTCTCCAATATTTCCTGCCGATAAACCAACTCGCCGCACCAACTAATGCTGCAGCTGCAGCGACGATTATACCAGTTTTACCACTTAATGAAAACATTATTTGATAATATCGAAGATATTTCAAATAACACCGAAAATCATCACCATAGAAACGTCAAGTAAAAATACGTATTAAAATTAATAATTTATCAACGTTTGGTTTTTCTACAACATGCCTTGATATTTTGTTCATGATTTGTACTGTATTGATTATTTGAGAGCGTTTTTGTTCCTTTTTGAACTACGCTGTTTTTCTCCCATTATTGTTGTTACTTTTTTTATAACGACCGTTTATATAATAAACTTTACAATTTTTACTTCATGATTTCTTTTGATGTAGGTTTTTTCCAAATACTAAAGTCTTCTAATTTTATTTATATAAATTTTTGTTTACATCCACGATCTTTATTTTATTTAATGTCTTGAAATGTGATGTTTTATCTACCTGTATGTCCTTTTCGGCACGCTTGCGTTTTTTTTTTTTTTTTTTTTTTTTTTTTTTTTTTTTTTTTTTTTTTTTTTTTAACGAGGGTTCGCAACAGAAGAGGTCGGGTTCGAATGCAGGACCGCTGGATTCGAACCCTGGACCTCTACCTTACAGTGAAGAGCGCCTTGTCCACGCCTAAACCGTTGCAACAGAAAACAAAAATAATAATGCAATTTTGTTATAGAGTTGGAAATTTTAGCGGAGAAAGAAAATAAAATAAAGAAGGAATGAATATCGTTTTATTAAAAAAATCGAAATTGTAGGTCTTGAACGGCGTCTCTGACAATTAACTCAAGAGCGAGAGGATGAGAGAGGGAGAGAGAGAGGGAAAAGACAAACAGAGGAAACAAAGAAAAAGTGAGACAGAAATAATGGTAGATATATAACTGTTGCGAGAAAAAGTTGATGAATAAGAAAGGGAGCATAAGGAAATATACAGATTGGACAGGTAGATAATAAACTGATAGACAGAGAATAAGAACGAGAGAGAGAGAGAGAGAGAGAGTGTGTGTGATAGAGAGAGATAGAGAGAGAGATTAAGGCTGACATAAAAAGAGACTTACAGACAAGAAAAAAAGAGAATAAGAATAAGGGAACACAAAAAAAGTAAAGAAAGAGCGATCTAGAAAGAGATAGGGAGTGAAATTGAAATTTATTTAGAAAATTGCTCATAGAAAAGTTGATAGAGTGAGAAAGAGAAGGAAAGGTGAACGACGGACACTGAGATACAGTGAAATACAGAGTAGCCGAGAAAGAGTGATACAGAAAGGGAGATAGAAAGATAAACAGTTGGATAGATAGATTGATAGATAAATAGATAGATGAAGAGAAAGAGAGAGAGAGATATGTATAGACATACAAAGAAAAGAAGTGGAAAGGTCAAAAAGAGAAAGATTAAATGAAAAAAAAAGAAATTCCACAGAAAATAAGAAAAAGGGAATCGGAAAAAAGACAGAAAATGATCTATGCAGAAAAAGGAAAAAGAATTTATTAAATTTCATGAGGTAGTGAGTGAGTGAGAAAGCTGTAAAGGCTATACAAACGGAGCATAGAATTTGAAACGTCTTCTTTTTTTATAGGATTATTTTTCACAATATTATGCTTCTAGAATTCTTACGTATTAAATGAGTCCAGTGTGTCTAGAGACGTGAGAATATATTGGCTCTCTACATAGGCTAAAAATATCACATAAAACCTGTTTTTTGATAGAAATCGACGATTGTTTTATATTACAAAAATGTTTCGAATTCTGTTAAAGTCAATTGAACCGTTTTATAAACCGCTTTATTCACGCAAAACACACATAAGCTATTAAACAGATGATAAATGTTTACAGAGAATTTGCAATTTTGATTTTCCCCTTTAAAAAAATTATCTACTTTACATTACCATGGACGTCCTGTTGAACGTTTTAAAAATCACTATTGAACAGTCTGGGTCCGCTCGTAATCGCTGTCACCAACTTCAGCTGGTAAAAACGAAAAAGTACACGCATTATAATCTTTTTTGAATTTCCCGGTACTTGCAATTCGTTTTTCCCTCAGTACTTTATACACTTTTAAGCATTCTTCGATAAGACAACCCATTATCGCAGGATGGCCGTTTTGTTCTTAATTTTCACTATCAGCTATGCCCCGCCCCGTTCCCACGCTTTTTACACTTCGCCTATTTTGTTGGTGACGTGAAGACAGAGGGCTGGTCTTATATATTTTTATTATAGAAATGTTTGGAATTTTACACAGCTACCAATAATTAAGTTGTCAGGAATTTTTTACTTCGTGCCTTCTTTGTAAGACTTTGAAAAGGTAAATATCTTATTTACCCCGAAAACCGATATAATCGAATTTTATACACACATTTTTGGGTACATTTTTATTTATCGAAAAACTTCTTTGTAACAAGATTATGATGATTTGTCAAACCATAGCAACTTTCTTTCGGTACCATCAAAATTTAATGATAACTTGTGACATTTTATAAGGAACAATAAACATATCAGGAAAACGGTTCATCTATTTATCTAAATAGAGATCTATCTCTCGAGTTAACATAACACCAAGCATCTACCTATACACAAAATGGTATTCCATCCGTCTATTTATTTGCAATTATCCACCGACCTATTTGTCAATCTACAATACGTAACTAGGTACGTAACTTTTAATTATAGATGCATTTTTAGTAACGATGTACATCTTTAATTTTTATTCACCCAACTTTATATATGCAGATACTTTTCTAATTATTTATTTGTTTATTCAGCGATCTTAGCTAATTAGCTGACTATCTACGAATTTATAAATCTAACCCTCTATAACCATGTTAGAAAAAGGGAAGAAAGAATGAAGGAGAAATAATAAGGAAAAAAGGACAAGGAAAGAAAAAAGGAAGAGAGAGAGAGGGAGAGGGAGAGAGAGGGAGAGGGAGAGAGAGAGACAAAGAGAGAAAGTGAGAGAAGAAAGAAAAAGAGAAAGACAGGGAATACTAACATAGAAAAAGAAAGTAAAAGTGCTTTAGAAAAAGATTGTGAGAAACCAAGACGAGGAGAGATAGAGAAAGGGAGAAACAGGAAGAGAGAGAAAAAGAGGGGGGAAAGACATACATAGAATAAGAAAGAAAACATGGAATAGAAAAAGATTGTGAGAAACCAGGACGGCGAGAGAGAGAGAGAGAGAGAGAAAGGCAAAAATAGAGCGTGAGAAAGAGAGAAAGAGAGAGAGAGAGAGAGAGAGAGAGAGAGAGAGAGAAGACTTACATAGATAAAGAACTGAAAAAGCGAGAGAGAAGAGAGAGAAAAAATGAACTATAGAAAAAGAGAGAGAGAAAGAAAGACAAAGAGAGAGAGAGAGAGAGAGAGAGAGAGAGAGAGAGAGAGAGAGAGAAAGACAAAAAGAAAGAAAGGGAATACTGACTTAGAAAAACAGAGAAAAAGTGCTGTAGAAAAAGATTGAGAGAAACGAAAACGATGAGAGATAGAGAGAGAGAGAGAAAGACAAAGAGAGAGTGTGTGTGAGAGAGGGAGAGAGAGAAAATACTAACATAGTAAAAGAAAGAAAAAGTGCTATAGAAAATATTGTGAGAAACCAAGATGATGAGAGAGAAAGAGAAAGAGCGAAAGAGTCTAAGAAAAAGTGTGAGAGAAGAAAGACAAAGAGAAAGAGAGGGAATATTAACATAGAAAAAGAAAGTAAAAGTGCTATAGAAAAAGTTTGTGAAAAACCAGGACGATGAGAGAGAGAGAGAGAAAGACAAAGAGCGAGAGCCTCTTTCTTGGAGAGCTTTGTTTTAGCAGCAGAGCAAATTTAATTAATTCTTACGTATTAAAGAAGGTACAAAAAAAGGTGAAAAAAGAAGAAAAAGAGAACGGAAAAAGGGAGATAGACAGAACTTTGTGAAACCAAAATAAAACGTTTTAAAACAGTAGTTAACGGGATAATAACTATTCTGAAGACGTCTCTTACTCAAAAACTCTTTCGTGAAATATGTATAAATCAGATATCGTACCCAGACGCATTATTATTACTTTTAAAGTTTTAGATTCCTTTGATCAGCGCCTAAGTGTCTCAAATGTACTTTTTGTGAAGACATAAGATAAAGTTCCGAAACGTGTTCATGACTTCCTAAGTTTACTTTGTTGATGATCTTGGTTTACACAGTGATATATTAAGTAGAACGAGATAAGGCTGGTCCTTAAAATTTCTTTAAAAAACTGTAACGAATCCTTGAAATTTCACAACCGTCCTGTAAAACAAGTCTTTTGGTTGTAGTGTTTAATTTTAAATATAAATGAAAATGTTATTTTTTGAGGAATTGGGGGGGGGGGTGGAATGAAAAATTAATTAAAGGTAATATTTGTCCAGATGTTTTATAATTTGATTTTTTTCCCTCTTAGTTTGTTTAGAGATTAACCCTACTAATAAATTTTCTGATTATTTTGGACAGAAAAATTTAAATAAGCTTCATTTTTTAATAAATTTTCTGTTTCTTTTTTTAACCCCGTATGATAAAATACAGGCCTATTTCAAACGGCCGTTTTGTCAAACGATTCCCGTCTAATTTGAATTTTTCCCCTGGAGTTAATTGGCCGACTTGGGAGAAGGGAGTCGGTGAGATATGGCCAAGTGGTAGGGGAAGAGAACGACAAAACCAACAGGTGTAACACACAATGGCTCACTTTTTAGTATTCCATCATCCATCGATCAGAGAAGTGGGAAGAAAGAAAACCTCATGTAAGTAAGTGAGAAGCTTTTTAAAACGTGGTTCACAATGTAAATAATTACAAACAGGGAGGGAAAACAACGAAAAAGACACTTTTGCCAAATTAAGGTCTAACAGTTAAACAAAATTTCAATGTCAAGTTAAAGTATTGCCTATTCAATTTTATCTTTACATTATAAAATATATATACTTTCTTAACTACCAGACAGTATAGATTATTCATTTTTTAGTTTTTTATAAACTATAAATTTCAAATTAAATTGACTTTCAACAATCTTAGATTTAATGAAAATCCTCTCTTCACCCAAAAATTCGACAGGTTCTAACGTACACGCAATCTTGAATATTGTCAACATTTTTATCATTACTGATAATCTCCGAGGCTGTTCGTATCTAATAAAAACAAAATAAGTTTCTATATGCGTTTATTTATAAATTACATATCGTGTGGGAAAAAACGACCGTTAATTTTTCAAAGATCTTATCCATTGTAAAAAAAAATAAAAATAATTGGTTTGCATATTTTTAACTTTTGTACCAAAAAGCTACTGGTTTATCGAAGATCATTTTATTTTAATTTATTAAAAACATAAACATAACAGAATCAATTATCATTCTAATTTCTAAACCGATCCTGAAAAACAGAAATATGATTTTTTTGTAATAGTAAATAATGTTTTATTAACAAATTATTAATGTTTAGTAATTAACGATTTTTTTCATTGAATATAATGGTGACTATAACATTGCCTACGTGTCAGCACTGACAGGCTGTTAGCCTCTCCATTTTGCAAAAACTACGTCAAATTCTGTTCATTATGTCGGGAATATTTTCATTTTTGCATTGCGCACTTGGTTTTAAAAATGGTACTTGTAGTTTCCGCTTTTGTAATTTAAAGAAAAATTTGGAAAACTTTGTATTATTTATAAGTTAATATAGAATTGATCGTCTCTCTATTTCGCGAAAGTAGACTTATTTTTATTTTTTTAAATTTATTTATAAAATTGTTACAATTTTTTTTGACTCTGTAAGAACGGAACAATAAGTGAAAAATGAGATCCTGCTCCGCAGAGAATCATCGCTGAGATGGAAGCAATGAAAATGATAAGTTTGCGCTTAATTTTTAATAACCATCAAATTACTATGGGACAACATTAGATTATATTACTGTTTACGTATGTTATTACATTTAAATCTTTATTTATACATTCATTTTGACACGAATTATGCCGAATTTTGTACTTTTCTGTTATTCAAGGTGACCCAAAGCCCCAGAATAAAATTTCTCTTCTTCTACATAATAAGTGAATTTTAATGGGTTGAACATTAAAATTTTTTTTTATCAACATTAACTAGAAAAATGTCTTTGAATGATCGAGTTTCCTGTAGAGCAAAAATCTATGAAATCTCAGTTTATAAGTTAATATCAGCATTGATCGCCTCTCAATTTCACGAAAATAGACTTATTTTTACTTTGTTAAGTTTGTTTATAAAACTGTTGTAATTTTTTTTTGTTTACTCTGAAAGAACGGAACAATAAGTCAAAAATGAGATCTTCCTTCGGAGAAAAGCACCGTTCAGAGGGAAGTAATAAAAATAGATAAGTTTGCACTTAAATTTTTAATAACCAACAAATTACTAAGGGAAAACATTAGATTATTATTGTTTAAGTATTTTTCCCCTTCTTAATTTAAAACGTTTATTTTATTTTTTATGTTATTACATTCAATCAATTATTTATATATTCATTTTGACAAGAATTGTGCCAAATTTTGTACTTTTCTGTTATTCAAGGTGACCCAAAGCCCCAGAATAAAATTTTTCATCTTCTACTTGTTCTACATAATAGATGAATTTTAATGGGTTGTACATAATTTTTTTTGTCAACGTTAACTAGAAAAATGTCTTTGAATGATCCGGGTTTCTTGTAGAGTAAAAATCTATGAAAGCTCAGTTTATAAGTTGCTATCAGCATTGATCGTCTCTCTATTCCACGAAAATTAACTTATTTTTATTTTTTTAAGTTTATTTATAAAATAGTTACAATTTTTTTTGACTCTGTAAGAACGGAACAATAAGTCAAAAATGAGGCCATCCTTCGCAGAGAATCATCGCTGAGAGGGAAGTAATGAAAATTATAAGTTTGCGCTTAATTTTTAATAACCAACAAATTACTAGGGGACAAAATTAGATTATTACTGTTTACGTATTTTCCCCTTTTTTAATTAATTTAGAACTTTATTTATTTTTATGCTATTACGTTTAAATCTTTATTTATATTTTCATTTTGACACTAATTGTATTTTTTAAATTCAAGGTGACCTGAAGCGCCAGAATAAAATTTATTTTCTTCAATTTTCTTCGTCTACTTTTAAATAGTAAGTGAATTTCATTGGAATGTACATTAAGAAAACTTTTATCAACATTAAGTAAAAACTTATCTTATCTCAACTAAAAACCTTAATTAATAGTAATATATTAATTGGTCAAGCGGACCAAGAAATTAGTGAAATTAAGTTAAAAAATGTTTTTGAATGATCGAGTTCCTTGTACAGTAAAAAAAATCTATCGAATCTAAGGACAAATTCAGTACAACTTTCAAAGTGCCTGGAACTATTGGACGATTTAAGAGCCTATTATTTACACGAAATCAATATTAAAATTATGAGTGGATTGAGCGATTTGAACCAGGAAAAATTAGTACTTTTTACTTCCAAAGCAATTATTTTGGGGAATCTGTAGTCAGGAAACAAGTTTTGACATAAAACTCGGGAAATGAGATAATTTTCGAATCGAAATCTTGATACGATTCGACTAGATTCGAAACACCTCAAACCCGGTGAGCGTAGCAGAACATCTTACGACTACAATAAAACACATGCTTAATATTAGCTAGAATAAAAGTGTTTGAGAGAAGGCTGGACTAGACTGAATTTCGACTTAATTTTTTTTATTGAGTTGTCAGGGATGAACGGAACATCCTCAGATATTTATACTCACAACCTCGCCATCCTGTCGATATATTCCAATGAGAGCATAAATTTTCCAAAGCGTGAATGTTCCTCTGCAAAACGAAAATCAGTGTAAAAAGTGGTTTTTAATTGATACATCAGATGTGCGAATACGAAGGTCGAGAGGATCAGGGAGGTCATTCGATAAATAGGGAGAACTGTTACACAAAAGACAAACACTTTGAGTGAGTAGAAATACTTTGTTTGAATATAAAATATATTTTGCATTGTATAAATTCACTTTTCCACATCCAAATGTAATTGTTAAATGTAAACATTGTTTATAAATCCCAGGCCCTGAAGATGATCTCAATAAAAGATCGAAACGTTGGCTCGATAAAGAAAATGTTTTTCTGAAACCTACATCACACCCGACCGCATCTCACGATATCTGAATAACTATTGATTTTGATCATGAGGTTTCAAATAATTCTATAGTCCTCAGGTTTGGTTATTTTATGTTTTATTTATTATTTATGCTTGTGTTTTTTAATACAATCTACAAAAAGTAAGGTTTTGTTGTAGCTGTAGTAGTATATATTAGTTTTGAGTCTGCCCGTAAAACCAAAAATTCTGTTTTCTTTCGTGTATCATTCTCACCGACTATCATATATTTTTCTCCCGTAGAAAACTATACGCAGAAAAAAAAATCGGAACGGTTTTACTGGATTGTAAGGCTTTTGATTGTGTTTGGCACAATGGGCTTGTTCACAAATTAAACCGTAACAAATTTCTCAGATATTTAATAAAAATAAATCTTATCTAATGGCCCGACGTTTCAGAGTCAAATATTTTTGAAAAATTTAAGGTAGCTGGTGTTCAAGGTTCAGTGCTGGGACCAACATTGTTTGTTTATTCCATTAATTAAGGTTTTTAGTTGAGATAAAAAAAAGTCAGTGTCACGAACGGGATTCGAACCCAAGACGTTCGGCTTGATACGCCGCTGCTCTACCCCTTGGGCTATCGTGACTTCGATCCACTCAGGCACTAACTTCCCATCTCAACCCCACGTATCAAGCCGAAGGACGTGTGGATAACACAAGGAGAAGTGGATAAACAGGCCCCGAACCTATACGTGGTATAAAAAAAAATATAGAATCCTCCATCGCAGAATGGATCCAAACAAAACAAAAGGAGAAGTGGATAAACTCTAGGACACAGTAAGCTTATGTTAAAACAACCCTCACCAAGACTGTCAAACTCACTGCTGCAGTTGGAGAAGGCTAGAGTATTGATGAGCCCATCTAAGGATTATGCAATGAGGAGGAGGAAACTGTCACCCATATCGAATGCGAAGCAACGGCTCAATGAAGATTTAACCTAGCGTACAGGAAACACCAAGGGAATGAAATTTTTGCAGCAACAGTCAAATGACATATACTTCTGAGAAGAAAGTCGATTGCACTGAACTAAAGAACTAGGAAGGTACAATATGACAGAAGGCTGCAGTGCCTGGGGAGTACAAACCCTGCCTCCTAGTATGCTTAACACCATACCATCCAAGATACTGAGGAGATTAGAGGTTAAGAAGACGACCATAGAACCGTGATATAGGAAGTCCCAGTCAAATACCTCCAGATCAGGTTTTATTGCCTCAAAGGTTCGAGGTCCAAGGGGTCGGTATGTAATTGTTTTAGGCTTAAGGCATGGCGTGGGAATAATGTATATAATTTGCATCAGGTCGTGAAAGGAGAGAAAGGATCAGGGGAGTTGGGAGGAAGACAGTAGTTTTTCTGAAGAGTCTATTAACCATTAGGTCAGGCCAACATGTTGCAGAAGATGATTATCAGGTGAAGGTCAGTCAGATACACCGGTAAAACTTTATTACAGTGATAATCTGTAGGACAAAGTTCCGTTGAGTATGGTGGTCCTCCCAGAGTCCGTTGTGCGATGTGTGGGCGTGCGTTGTCGTGAAGGAGGATAGGCGCCCCTCCGATTGGCCATGGTCGGAGTAGTTTTCGGTCTATCTCATTAATTTCATTACAGTACTTTTCAACAGTGATGGTTTCATCCGGATTGAGGAAGCTGTAATGATCCTGAGATGACCACCATTATACGGAAAAAACTTAGGGAATCAAATTGTAGCAGCGACTGTCAATGACCTGATACTTCTAAGGAGAAGGATTGAGTCTATTGCACTGAACTAAGGAACTAGGAAGGAACGATAAGCCAGAAGGATGCAGTGCCTGAGGAGCACAAACCCCGCTTCCTAGTTTCATCATCATTATAATCACATACAGGAACTACAGTTTGCTCAGAACATGATCAGTGCACTAGCTCTTTTCGTTTTCCAAGAAATTGGGCTTTTTCTTTAGATGTGCGGGTTGGGCATAATTAACATTTTTATAAAAATAGCTTAGCGAATAACCTAAGTAATGCCATTGTTGGCATTGAAATCCTTGATCCTAAAAAGAGAAGAGAAGTCCTTATGGTATGTAATGAGTACTTTTTCTCGTCAAGTTAAGCTAGTTATTTCCTTCACAGTTTTTAAATTTTTTTTTTTTTTTAATTTAATTTTGTCTCTCCCAAATAGTTTGTGATGAAGTTATTTATTATTATTTATTTACCTGTTTATGAACATAGATTAAACAAATATTATGCATTATCTAAACAAAAATAAGTATACATATATTTACAATCAATTAAGGTTTTTAGTTGAGATGAAAAAAAGTTAATGGCACGAGAGGGATTCGAACCCACGACCTTCGGCCAGATTCGCCCCTGCTGTACCACCTGAGCTATCGTGACCTCGATCCACTCGGACATCAACTCCCCATCTCAACCCCACCTTATGAGTTTTCCCTCCTTTTGCCATTTTTCAAGTATACATACAATTAGGTTCTTTTTTACATTGTGTTTTAAGATTATATTTTTTGTTTTATTGTTTTATTTATTATTGCTAATATTTGCATTATTATAACTACACATATAATTAGATTGTTTGGATATTTCCTAAAATATTGCTTTCCGGTGCTCAACATAAGCAAAATCCATAATTCAACCATACACAAGGTCTAAAACGAATATAAATTAAAGGTTTATTTAGTTTTCTAGTTGTCCATAAAGTATAATGATTGATTAACTCCATTAGAATTAACTGTATAACACATTTTGACGGAACTCGGTCATGTAAAATTTTGTTTTCACACATTTCCGTACGTTTACTTAATGCTTCGCCCAACATACTGTATTACAAATTAGGATAATTTTTTTCACTGTAATTCTGTGTGTAGTAAATTTTTTTTTTAGAAAGGCAAAGAAAGTACCTTTTCCTTAAAGGAAAATAAAAACATGACGATACTCAGGAAAACTAGTAGTTTAAAAAAAAGTTCCAAAATTTTACGTCATTAATTATTTACAAGCATACCTAAAAGGTAAAGGTCTACGTAAGAGCGTACAGAGTAATTTTGAAGAAGATTAGAACAGATAAGGATTAAATATGTGCATTTAAACCAGAAATATTGGGATTTAAAAAAAAGGACTTTTTGAGTGAGCCCACCCCCTCCAATAACCAAGTAAATTAATTTTCGAAATGCTTATTATTTGACTGACTGAACAACTTTTAATAAATTTATGTTTTATTTGTAAAAAAAGTTTATTATTCTTTGTTTTTTAATTAACCTTAAACAAAAATATCACGAGTTTCAGTTTTCTGAATTCTCCTATGTCAAAATTGCAATTTTCGTCGTTAGTCATTAAAATATTTAATTTAAAAAAATATATATACAAAAGCAATGAAAATTATTAAAAATTATACTATTCATTTTTATATTGTTTTAGTTTAAATTAATTAATGAATCCATACTATTAGGTAGTTTTGTCTATTTAACCCTTATAAAAGTAACATTTGAAAAAAAATAAAATTAAGAGTGATTTCAACGTCGAAGAGAATAGGAGCGAGAATAAGCGGACTAGAGATGCTTTGATAGCACTTTCGTCAAATTAACATTTGGTTTTTAAAAACAAAAAAAATTGCACTTTTTATTAAACTTGAGTATTTTTTAGTTGTAATATTTCCTAATGTTGTTGCTTTTAAAATATATTTGTTTATTTTTTCTAGTTTCTGCCGAGGCGAAATGTTACTTCCCGAAAGATGTAAAATTAAATAAATATATTCTGCAAAAATGTAAGTCATATCATTATCATTTCTATATTTTTGGCTAGTAGTGATAGTAGCAAATGGTGAAATCTGAGATAGTTATTTGCACGTTTAATAAGATATAATTCTACAGATATAAAATTGGAGTTATATTTTCATGATGGGATTTTCATTTTTATTTGCGCTTTCTATTCAAAATAAAAATTGTAAAGTTAAATTTTAAATTTAAATTAAACGATCGTGTATTTTGTAAAAAGTCGATGTTTCCACAGGTTAAGTTTAAAAATTTATTGTCTTTTTAAGCCACAACCAGAGAAAGGGAGACGCCCAAAGGCTCGACCAAATTTGCGATATGTTTCTGATGCTTTTTCTTACAAATTCCATTTCGGCAAAAGTTAAAATCCATTTCCAAGCCTTATGGAAACTTGCAAATTTGTCAGCAATCTAAGGCTAGCGCCCTTGTACGTTTTCCAGCCGCCGCAGCACGAATCTCCATAGAGATATAAAAAATCTTAAACAACTGAAAGTTCCTTCAAGAAAGGCTAATTACTTGGAAATACAAATTACAATTCAGATCGAGACGTTATCTCTCGTCATCAGCAGTGTTTCCAGACTGAACACTCCACCCAGAAACTTGATCATTCACTGAGCAAGGAAGATGTGCTTTAGATTGTTTCATTTCGTTACAAATATGACAATTTGGGGAAAGCCTGCCTGAATTATCCATGACCTAGTCGTAATAAAAAAAATCGACCTTCGGTTTTTTTGTAGAAAATTGGCAAACTTTGGAAATGCATATTTTCTCAGCCTTTTAAACCACAGATCTGCGCTAGGTCTCACTTTTAGAAAGTATTGCGCTAATCTAGATGGTTTTCTGAATATTTTCATAGCTTCAGCCATTCACCAGTATATTAAAAAATTCTGGATTATGACTATTTTTGCACTTGTTATGAAAACTTCAAATTAAGCTGTGGAACCAGGAAATCGTCCTGGAGCGGCTCCGTTTAGCAATCGATCGGAAATTTTAATAAGTTTTCGATAGGTCACCTTCCACTTTGCCCCATTTCTCAACAGTTTTCGAGTTATTCGCGCTTTTTACGCGAAAAACGTGGTTTTTTACGTGCTCATGGAAAATTCCGATCACTCTGTTTTCCGATTTTACCGTTCATAAACATGTTGTTTCAATACGTTATTCGAAACCAAACTGCGTTAAAAGTTTAGAATTGCCGCTTCCCTGTTCATTTTTAAAAAAGTCTTCAGAACAAAAGTTGTAAAGCGTAAAATTTGCGAAAACATGACGAAAATTTATGCATTCTTGAAAATCTGGTGAGAGAGAGAGGGTGAGAGAGAGAGAGAGATGTGATCGGTTTTTTTACACGAGCACGTAAACAACCACGTTTTCCCCAAAAATCGCGAATACCTCGAAAATGGTTGTGAAATCGGCAATTTCCTGGCTCTACAGCTCAAGTTAAAGTTTTCATAAAAAGTGCAAAATTGACATGTTATAGAATTCTTTTGAATTTACTGATGAATGACCGAAGGTAGGAAAAAATTTAAAAAGCCATCTTGTTTAGCGTAAAATTTTTCTAAAACGTGAGACCTAGCGCAGTTTTTTTCTCATAATCTTTTATATGATTTTTAAATCCCCCATTGGTACTTGCATGTCAAAGGCAAAGTTACCCAATGCCGTAGATTTTATCAATTTTTTTATTTGGCGAGTCTTAAGCTGTTTGTTCAGTTCAAGATTCAAGTCCGCTTGTACTCTCAGGTTTTTAGGACGACAACCCCGGCCCAAAATACCGACAAACAAAAATGGAAGGAAATTTAGTTTCTGATGGTTTTTCGGATCGAGCAAGACCACTCTGAATAGATTTTTCTGACAGAAATCTGAAAGTAATCTGAGGTTTCTTACATTACCAAACTTTGAAAGTACTTCTACTTATCCAATCATTTTCTTCTGTTACATTCCATATATTTAATAAATAGATAAAACAATTTTAAGTTTTTAAAATAGCAAGGTTTTAAATCAAAAAGGTCTCCTAGAATAAAAATTCACAGTAGATTTTTATGATTTAAAATTTTAGCAGAGAAAGTTGAAAAAAGGAAAGTCACGACAGATTGATGCTACTCCTGAAAGAATCTTCAACACAAAACTAATTAGATTCCTATGAAACAGTAAATAATAAATAGAACAACGTTGGCACAATAGGAATCCATTTCAAGTCGAGAATAATTTAAGTATGAAATGGGTTTTTTACGCCTTTTACGAGATGACTCAAGGAAAAGCCACTCAAACAAATTTTACAGCTCTCCTTAACAAAAGCCGCTTTTTAAAAAGCTTTCTAAACTGTCCCTTTGAGTCTTTTGATTTTATAAAATTTTATATTTAAAAAATTTAAGCTTGAGACGTTGAAAACTTTTAGGGCTTTAATTTGTAAGTATCTATGAACAACGTTTAATCTTTGGAGTTTTAATCAACCCTCAGCGTTTAATAAAAAAAATCTGAGTGAAAAATTTGATAAAATTTATAAATGTTTCAACCTTCAATGGGGGTCTTTTTAAGAGCAACTGCTACTTTGCCCAGGTTTTTTTTTTTCATTTTTTCTTGCCATCGAGAAGTCTCCTGCATCAAAGAGCCAATTTATTTACAATTTAAACGTAACATCCGTTGAAAGGAAAACAACTGTGTCTTAATTTTCTTCACTTCACTCTATTGTATGTTCCCTATTGGAATTATGCTATTTCAATGAGTCGCCAGTTTGATAAGATAGTATAAAATAGGAATTATTAAGTAAAAACTAAATATTGGTTTTTAATAATAATAATAATAATAATAACAAAGTTCAAAATAAATTGTTGATGTTTTGATTCGCTCCGGAATGAATTTTAATGGGTTCTAAGAATTGAACTTTTCTGGCTTCGCTGTTTTAAGCCATTTCTTAATCTCTCCTCACTTTTTATAAATCCGGTAAAATCCTTAATCCCTTCCCCCCGTGCAGATTAGATGCACATCACATTCACTTGGGGGGGGGGAATCCAGTTTATATCTTGATAAAAATTGGTAGATGGACTCAGCCTTTAATGGATCTTTTATTAATTTTTATTTTTATTATGTTTTATTATTTTTTAAAGAACAACTGCTGCTTTGCCTAGTTTCCTGCACTTTTTATTGCCATCGTCAAGCCTCCCTGCTTAACTTACTTATTTACAACATAATCTTTGTAGTATTTTTTCTTTTTTTATCATTAATGATTACTGTAATTTTTGAAAAAAGTTATATTTGTACTATTCGTTGTGTTCGTTGATGCAGGAGCTCTGAGTCTGGCGATATAAAGTGCTGAAAGCTTGGCTATGTAGCAGATGTACTTAAAAAGTCACTCAGAATGAACCTGTAAGTTTAACTATACACAAACTAACTACTTAACTGTACAAATTGCACGCAAATTACAAGAAAAAAAGTGGAGTTCCATCACTTGGACTTTTTTTAAGCTTTTGTAGTGTGCACCAAATCTTTCCCTTTTAAAGAAGAAATTAAGGATCAATCAGGCTTAACAAATAGTAAGGAGAGTTTAAGAAAAGGTTCTGAACAGCAAAGCCAGGGGAGCTTAATTTTTAGAACATCTCAAAATTCAATCCAGGTTGATTCAAAACAAAAATCACTTTTTTATTTAAAAAAAAGAAAGTTTTTTATGTCCAAACTTAGTTTTTTAATTAATAATTCCTATTTTATACCATCTTATCAAAATGGCGTCTCATGGAAACTCTTTAATTCCAGTAGAATCATACAACAAAGATGACAAAACCGAAGAAAATTACAACACAGCCAACACAGCTGTTTATTTTATTATGGATGTTAACAAATAGGACAATAAAACAAAATTTACGACTAGTTTTACTAAGACCCGCCCCCCCCAAACAAAAAAAAGCGGACGTTCGGCCCCAAGAATTATAAAACCGCTGACACTATCTTTTGTTTTCTTAGCGTCAGGGTCGTCACAACGCCCTATTTGTGTCATCGCGTTGATAACAATTCGAAGTTAACAAAAAAAAAGTTTATTTGCGAATTAATAATTCTAACAACAATTCCCGACCAATTTTAGACACTAATTTTAACATTTTTTCTCTGTTTCTTGGCTTTTTTTAAGCCCTAACATGGCCCATAGGTGGAAAATTTATAACAGTTATTTTTAGTTTGTTTTACAAAAAATTCTGTATTAGTTTAATAATCATGGTAAATTCTATTTTATGTAATAACGAAGCAATATCTTTCTTTAAAATTCCATTCTTTCTTAAAGATTTTATTATTTTCATATATTAAACTTTCTTTATATAAAAGCCCAATATTATAGCATTAGATGGTTAGGAAATTACGAATAAATAAATTCGCTGCTGTGTTAACAATTTTAATAAACTTTTGCGCTGTGTAATTTAAACGTTGTCTCAAACAAATTTCCAAAAGATGTTTTTCTCTGTTAAAATAGCTCTCGAAAGGAAGGAAAATAGGTCTGCCCTGGTTAATAGAAATGCAGAAGCACGCCCGGTGTTCGGACATGTCTCATATTTCTTTGGCGGAGCGAGAGAAAAATCGTCGATTTTTTTGTTTTTGTCAAGACTTGTCCTGAAAATCTTCGGCCTTGTCCAATCAACTAGCCACTGTCCCAGCGCATGGATAACGGATAGGCATAATAGATTATTTATTTTTAATATATTTGGCGAAGGATGAATTCGAATTTATTCTTTAACACGTTCTTTAAAAAAAAGCAGTGTAATTCGGGCTTAAACGTTTAAAACTTACCCAAACCCTGAAAACTTGACTAACAATTTACTATTTAATTTCTTTAACACTTCTAACATATTTCTATAAATTATTACTTGTAGGATATTTGCACTTTTTTTAAAACTCTTATGGTCCCCACACTTCTATAGCCTTTATATTATCCATATGCATGCCTTTTAATTTTCATGTTTACTTTACTCATCCTCTCTTCATCTTATATTTGCGTATGTTTGAACGATTTGTTCTATTAAAAAATTTTTTAAAAACACTTGTTAAACGGTTTAATTTGCTATTACAAAATTTTTTTGTTATTTGCCGTTTCAAGTTTTAATTTTACGTTACTGGAACGAAACTTATTTTCCCACGCAGTTTTAATAACTAATTATTATTAATTAGATTCACTAATTTCGTGGTCCGCTTGACCAATTAATACATTACAATTAATTAAAATGGATTGATGACAATTAATTGAAAATGGCAAAAGGAGGGAAAACTCATAAGGTGGGGTTGTGATGGGGAGTTGATGTCCGAGTGGATCGAGGTCACGATAGCTCAGGTGGTACAGCAGCGGCGTATCTAGCCGAAGGTCGTGGGTTCGAATCCCTCTCGTGCCATTAACTTTTTTCATCTCAACTATAAACCTTAATTAATTGTAATTATTAATTAGTCTACCTAATTGTAAAATAAAAGTTTTTGAAAATGTGCCACAACGGCGGAGAAATCTTACATGAAGGAATTGAAAAACAAATTAGAATGGTTATGATTTTACCATAATTTGAATAACTACAGATAGTCAGATAGAATGAGGAGTGAGAAAGAGGGATAGGAAAAAGTAAGTGTGAGAGAGAGAGCAATGAATATAGGAAGAGGGGTGTGAGAGTTACTGGGTAAGAGCCTAAGAAATATTCTTAAGAAAACCAATAGAGAGCCAAAGAAACCATGTAAAAAAATAGCGTGATATTAAGGCCAAGAAGATTAGTAAAAGCGGAAAAAAAGACTAGACTAGAAAGAAAAAAAAGAGTGCAAGAGGGAGAAAAAATAACAAAAATTAAGATGGATAGACGGAAAATGAGTTTTAAAGAAAGGGAGAGAAAAGAGAGAATGAGAGAGGGAGAAAGAGTGAGGGACAGAGAAATACTTCTACTGACTAATGAGAGTGAAAGAGGGAGAAAAAATGGCAAAAAAGAAGGATAGAGAGAGCAAGAGTTTTAAAGGAAGAGAGAAAATGAGAGAGAAAAAAAAGAGAGAATGAGAGAGGGAGAAAAAGTGAGGCACAGAGAAATACTTCGGTTAACTAAAGAGTGAGTGAGATTGTTTGATGTTAAAAAAAAAGTAGAGAGATAGAGAATGTGTGGGAAAGAGTGAGTGAGAGCAATAGAGTGATAGCAATAGAGTGATAGCAATAGAGTGATAGCAAAGGAAACCTAGAAAGAGGGAAAGAGAAAGAGAGAAAGCGGGAGGGAGAGAGAGTAAGATTGTTAGATGTTAGAAGAAGAAAAGATAGAGAGATGTGGAAAGTGTGAGAATGAGTGAGTGAGAGCAAACGAGAGATAGCAAAGAAAACCTAGAAGGAGAGAGAGTGAGAGCAATGAATATAGGAAGAGGGGTGTGAGAGTTATTGGGTGAGTGCCAAAGAATGCATAAAAAAAATATTTTAAAAAGATAGCGTGATATTAATGGCAAGAAGAGAAGTAAAAGCGGAGAAAAAAGACTAGACTAGACAGAAAAAAGAGAGTGAAAGAGGGAGAAAAAATAGCAAAAATAAAGAAGGATAGACAGAGAAAGAGTTTTAAAGGAAGAGAGAAAATGAGAGAGAAAAAGAGAAAATGAGAGAAGGAGAAAAAGTGAGGCACAGAGAAATACTTCTGTTAACTAAAGAGTGATTGAGATTGTTAGATGTTAAAAGAAAAAAAGTAGAGAGATAGAGAATGTGTGGGAAAGAGTGAGTGAGAGCAAAAGAGTGATAGCAAAGGAAACCTAGAAGGAGAGAGAGTGAGAGCAATGAATATAGGAAGAGGGGTGTGAGAGTTATTGGGTGAGTGCCAAAGAATGCATAAAAAAATATTTTAAAAAGATAGCGTGATATTAATGGCAAGAAGAGAAGTAAAAGCAGAGAAAAAAGACTAGACTAGACAGAAAAAAGAGAGTGAAAGAGGGAGACAAAATAGCAAAAATAAAGAAGGATAGACAGAGAAAGAGTTTTAAAGGAAGAGAGAAAATGAGAGAGAAAAAGAGAAAATGAGAGAAGGAGAAAAAGTGAGGCACAGAGAAATACTTCTGTTAACTAAAGAGTGATTGAGATTGTTAGATGTTAAAAGAAAAAAAGATAGAGCAAAAGAGAATGTGTGAGAATGACCGAGTGAGAGCAAAAGAGTGATAGCAAGGAAAAACTAGAAAGAGGGAAAGAGAAAGAGAGAAAGCGGGAGAGAAAGAATATGTTAGAGAGTTGAGAAAATAGTAAGTATTCGTAGTTTCCTCCTCTCAATTAGTTTTTCAAACTTATATTTTTTTGGTTTCCTTTTCCTTGGACACCCTTAAATATCTCCTGTGAGTTGTAGATAAACTGAATTGAATCTTTCCTCTGTTACAGTTTAAGCCAGGAAACGACAGAACTTACAGCAGATCCGCACGTCTAGCTCGGGCAGGTGCTATCAAGAGAGCTATCCGTCGACAGTACAAGTGAGTTTCACTGTCATGGAGTTGCTCTCTTTATAGGCGTGCTCACACATCTTCAGACTCGGGACCATCAGCCGATAAGACAAAATCAAACTTTGATCAACTGTTGACAGCATTTCTAGTCCACCGAGTTTCACCACCATTACTGTCAACACTTCAAATTCAATTTTTTCTCTTTTTTTCTCATAACGCATTTTATCTTGGAGGTATGTAGTTCTGTAAAAACAAAGTAGTCTAAATAATAATAGACTGGGTTTTGGTGAAAAGTACAACTGGTGCAAAGATGAACAGACAAAATAAAAACAAAGGACAATAACAACACTGACAGATCAGAGAAAAATATTTCACACAGGAAATAATATTTACAATATGGTTCTTTAATAGCCGTAAATTTTATTGTACCTAGCCTACGTTATCAAAATGAAAATTAATTGTCAAAGTAAAACATTCATCCCAAACTGTCCTTCCATTAATTATTCCTGTTAATGGACATAAACATTAGATTATAAAATAATATCTGATCGGTCAACGTTAAGGTTGAGGATTTATGCTGCACAACTGTACATAAATTTCAACTCTTCTAATTTTTAAATTAAAAAATTGATATTTTGGCTGGTGTTATCAAAGAAAACATTTTAATAATTTAATTCAAGTAAGTATTTGTCATACATGTATAACATATTTTGAGGGAACCAAACCACAAAGGCTTTCCCGTTTTTTTTTTCTTTTAATTTTTAGATAACAACATGAACTACCGAAAATTTTTGTAGGTGTTGTGTTGCTCAACCCTTCATTGACCGATATATTTTCTTACAAATTTTTCTTCATTATTTTTTCCAATATTTTTTAGTTGCTAAAATCTAAACAATCTAGGGCATATAATACTTACAAATTTCAAAATGTGTAAAAGGCGGTATAGCAAAAAAATTTGGATTTTAAATATTTAATTTTTAATTTTTTTTTTTGTTTATATACTCAATATATGATATATTTTTAGGGATATATAACAAAAATCTATCTTAGCTTCAAAGTTTTCTCATTTTTTGTTATTCTATATATTCAATTAAAAATAAAAATGGATAATTTATCAAGAATATATTAATCATTTCTCAGTTCCGTATTGAGTCAACAGTTTATTTCCAATTAACTGCGGATATTATCGTTTGTAATCATCATGATTTAATGTGTGAAATATCAATTTTCTCTAATTTAATTTGTCTAATTGTTTTTTCACCGTTAGCCATTTATCGACAGTAGAATTTAACAATAAAGATTTGATAATTTATAAAAGTTTTTATATTGTAAATCTTTTAATACAAATATCTTAGGGCTAAAAGTATTGTTTCTACATTAACGATTATACAATGTAATGAGAGATTTTTATATATAATTTATTATTTTTATCACATGTTTGATAATGTTCAAATAAACCCCACATTTTTAATGTTTAAACTCCCTTTCGATTTTTTCGCGACAAAGTACAACTGTGACATTATTTGAACAATTTCAACGTTTGACCGTACGGGTATCAACAAGCGCCCAGTTTATCTGCCAACAAGCTTTCAACTAGACAGAGTGAGAAAGAGAGAATGAGGGAATAAAACTAATTGCACAATGATAAGAACAATAGAAGGCTGTAAACTAAGTAAAGTCGCCATGAATTATAATGTGTGACTGGAGACAGTAAACTTTTATGGTCCTTACCTAATTCTTCAGTTTAACTGTTCAGAGATAAAAGCCGGTTGATAACACCTGATAAATGGATACCATCCTCTGGGGAGAACCCTTTCATGGAAAAAACTTTTTAAAAAAATACCTAACAAGAATGTATATAACGTATAATTATTTAAAATTATTTTTATGTTAAAATATTAATTAATTGTAAAAATGATTCTGCTTTATTATTTCTTAAGTATCTTGGGCTTTGTGATAGATTATATTTTTGTTTGTGCATTTTGTCAAAAAATGTCTTAAAGTAAGCTTTGTGTACATAAATTGTATTTATATTAAAATATGTTTAATTATCTACTGTTCATCAAATAATTTTTTATTTTATTTAAATTTTAGTTAAAAATGCATGACAGCCAAATTTAAAAAAAAAATTGTACACATGCCACTTGTGTAGGGGAGTCAGCATGAAAATGGATAAACTTATAAAATTTAAAATTTTGCATAACTGACAGGAACATAACAGAAAAATTTATTCTTATATTTTTATTGACCATGTTACTCTGTTCTGTTTATTTATTTTGCCAGATATCATTGAAGACAGGAGCTCTAAATTCCATGACGGTAAGTTTTCCAGTGAGTTCAAGAATGACATTCCCAATGTCATTAGCCACACCAGTTTCTGTTGGGATAATATTTTGGTTTGCTCAACACTCATTTTTTTAATGTATATTTTTTTCTTTTAATAAAGGATAGTCATGTTGTTACGTATTATAGCTGAAATATGTTGAGGTCCTGTTCATCCTGATGTGTCTATCTTTGCCAGTTTGTGAACGAGGTATTGATCTATTTATGTATGTATAATTCAAAGACTATAATTCATATAAACTTTAGGCAATATGTCATCTTTCAGGTCAAAACTGTGCCAAGGAGAATCAAAAGGCCGAATATTGCTGGCAAAAGAAAACCCATCTACTCAGGTGGCGTAAAGGCATCTTCTTCATCGGTAGTAAAGAGCTGTTTGGGATTGCATTAAGGCATTGGAGAAGGTGAAAATTGAAAATGAGGAAGCTTAATTTGCCCATGGTAAGTTCGATGAGTGCCCCTATTGGCCCTGAACCCTTCTGCGGTGTTTGAAATTGCCAAAAAAGTAGATCCTTTATGATTAAAAATAAGACCTCGATTCGACAGGGATGGATTCTAGGACAGAATGCGAAAAAGTCAATCACAAAAACTGACATGTTAGGATGATAGACGACTGTTGACTTGACACTGTAAACTTCGGATGCACAGTAGAAACAAGTCTGTGCAGATATTACCAGGAAGAAACATTGGAACATTTCAGTGGTGGGAAGGCCTATGCAGGCTGAAATTCCTATTCCTGGTCGAGGAAAACCCAAGGCTTGAAGGAAACAACAAACCATTGGGATCTGGTAAAAAGCCCTAAGTTTACAAAGTTCTAGTTTAATGGAAATTGCCCGACAGACCAATATTGGTCATGGTGTGTAAGGTCGACAACTTTCAACCTCAGTCTTAATATGTACTGTACCTGTTTATTTAAAAGTTGCTAACTTTTTTTCTTTTCACAACAGCAGTGATCGCAACATCCAGGGTTCACAAAATGTCTTGATTTTGTATTATATTAATATTTATTATATTCAATATAAAATTAATTGTTTAAAACAATATTCAAAGATGAGGAAAGGTTTTCAATAATCGTAAAGTGGCAATATTATAATTTTAACACATTTGTTTATCAGGTATGTACAATTAGTTGAAAATTTATATAAAAAAACTCAATTACGTTTAAAATAAAGTTAAACACTTGTTAGTTTAAACTCTTTTTTTTGTCAGATATAAAATTTGTAATACAACAAAACTGTCCAACTAAACGCTTTGTGGAACTTTTGTAAAGTAGAAATTATACTAACCTAACTACAAATATTTTAATTAAAAAAAGCAATAAATTATAAATACAACACAGACTTTGTCTAAATTAAAATCACAAATATCATACAGAGCACGTAATCCGAGTGTGTTTACAAAAATCCTAAAATCTTGTCATATAATACAAATTAAAATGTCTTTTGGTAAAATAAAACTATTTTCTTTTTCTCAATGGAGCGATAAAAAAAATATGCATCACTGCTGTATATGACTAGCTCACATCTCGGTATGAACTATTTTCTGCATAAATAAAATATCTCTACAAAAAAAGTCACTAATTTCAAATTTCTTAACTTTATAAATGTTCAAGCTAAAATTTTCATGGCAAATGAATAAGACGACCACAGCACGCAAGTGAATAAACACAAACACAACGCCTGGAATGCCCTGTGGATGATGTACAAGCTGTAAAAATAAATAATCAATATTTATTCAGTCTGAAATATAAATTTAATAAATAGGTTCTTTTAATTCTCACCAGAAGATTCTCTTTTTAGCGTAAGGGATGGTTTCGATAGGGTCTTTGAGAAGGTACACCCTCAGACCGAATGCAAAAATTTTGATATAAGCGTCCCAGTCTAAGCTGCGCATGTCAAAGTCAAAAAGCTCTTTGTCCTTTTTGTTCATGCCTGACCACAGAGCCTGGATGTTGTTATCGTGAAATTTCCACGTCCTGAGGCTGAAGTAGCTTATCGCTTTTCCAAACGTACTGATTTTCTGGTAAATCTTGACCGCCCTGTTAAAAAAAGCTATGCATATAAACATTCATCTTTAAAATAAAAAATAAAATAAAATCCTTACTGTGGCTTTTTATTGACTAAAAGTAACATTAAATCGATGATAATTGCAGGGAGAAAGTGAAGAAAAAATAAGAGGAAGTTGAAAACGTATAGGTTCTTGCAGAGAGTAATCGAATAGTACCAGACACCTTTGGACGGCGGTAAGTCCTGACCGTATTTCAAGCAGTTGTCCATGAACTGACCCCACGTTAAATTGTTGTCAGCTGGTGGTACGAAATTGTACACTGGCATTTCTCTCGTAGGCCTGCAAATCAATTTTTGGTTTGTTTAATGTAAGTTTTACAAGGTTGGAATGTTTAGAGGATTTACCCCATCAGGCTTGTCTTGTATGCAGCGGCCAAAATGGCGTTGACAGTCATGTCAGCAGGGACCATAGCACCGACAGCATTAATATCAGCGTTGAAAACCCTAATCAAACCGGTTCCGATACCCATTGCGAGGCCGACAGGTCCATAAAGGTTGTCAATCCATCCTCCCATTGGTTCAGATCTCGTATTTGTAACTGAAAAATAAAATCTTATTAAAATATTCTTGTAAAACAAATTAAAATTGACATAAGAAACATTCTAAATAATATTCAATATATCTTTTATGTATTAATAATAATATATATTAATTCATAAAGCTTATTTTTATAATTGTAAATGAACCTATTATAAATTTATTAAATTAAAATCACTTACTTATAGCAGGTCTGAAAACTGCTGCTGGAAGTCCTTTTCCAAATGTTTTCACCGCATCTTCAGCGACTGCTTTTGTGAATGAATATGTATTGGGCCAACTCTCCAAAATGCTATACATCAAAATTTGGTTTTAAACATTTTTTGGACAAAGTATGATAAATATAAAACTCACTATTCAGTGATGCTCTCCAGCTGACTTTCTTTCAGACACTCAGTGAGCTTGATCAGATTGTCGGCAGTGATGGGCGGCGTGTAAAACTCCTCCTCGATCTCTTTATTCGGACAATTAGCAAACGCCGTTGAAACATGGATAAAAGCCTGCAACGTCGCATGTTATTAAAATGTAAAAATTAATCAATTGAATAAAATTCTCACTTTGAGGTTTCTCATCTGCTGGCACAGAAGAGCTACCGTTTTGGTTCCGAGGACGTTGATGTTTGTAGCGATTTTAATGTGTTCGTTGAATCGTACGGTGGCTGCTCCGTGTAACACAACTTCAATTTTTTCTTTAAGCAGTGCGATTGATTCATTACTCAAACCGAGTTCAGGCTTTGAAGAATCACCGTCCACGATTGTTATGTGATCGAGATAATCAGTCTTTTCTTTCTTGAGTCTCTCAAACAACTAGAACAACAAAAAAGTAACGATTTGATTTTTTTTTAAATCAGGACATATTAATAAATGATTTCATTTTATTTTTTAAAAAATTGAATCATTAAAAATTAAAATAATTTTTAGGCTTTTGCTTTTTGATAGACAATTGCAATAATTATAGTTCCATCAAACCACATAATTTTAATCATTTACAACTATAATCTCTAAATCTTTAAAGATAACCTGAACTCCTTCTAGACAACAACTAGCAACATCAATTGAATTTTATTATTTGTTTTTTAATTATTTGAGTAAGTTATAACTCAAAGGCGCCTTGATAAGGGAGCCAGATAGGCCAGAGCATTAATAAATAAATAAAAAAGTTGAAGGAATTCAATATTTCTTTATCAACCTGAATGAGAAACAGTCTACTAAAAAGAAGGTTAGGGATAGGGATAAAAGAGGTGGCCACAAGGCCTTTTGCGCCTCCACCTGAGTAGATCTATTTTGCTCCCTTGTTTTTTATATAACTCACTGGCCAGCTTCAGGTTGTTAATCAACATCCATATCTCCTTAGTATAGGATCTTGATTGCGGTTTTTCCTTCGTTGCGAGAACCTGCACCTACATAGACTTTCACAGAAACATAAAATATGTTCTGCTGTCTCCTCCTCTTCCTGGCAGTATCTGCACAGTGTTTCTTCTGTCTGCACTCCTATCCGGTGCATGTGCTTTCTTAAGTGGTGGTGTCCTGTCAGGAGTTTAACCAGAATCCTGGTTCAATTGCGGTTGTCATCCATTTGCAAGGTTTCCAGATGGCCCTCTATTAATCTCTTGGCATGCCTCATGCCTGTAGTATTGTTCCATCATGTTTTGGACTCATTAAGAAACATCAAGATGTGAAAAAGATCCTCTTTTGTGGCAAGATGCTAAGCCACAATAGGTTTCAGGGTCTAGAGAGTCCATGTTGGTTCCCTCTTTGGCCATGTCAACCTTTTTGTTGCCTCTATGCCCAAAGTTCCCAGGGATTCATGCCAAAGTAAGGTCATTAGTGTCACTGACTTCCGTCAGGGTCTCCATGCAGTTCCAAACATTTTTTTATTTCACCTCACAGGAGGGTAGGGCCTTTAGTGCTGCCTGACTGTCAGAGAAGAAGACCATCTTCTGGGAATATATTCCAAGCCCTTTTTATTTCCCTGGCACAGTGTTCAATTGCAGATTTCAGACTGGAAAACTGTAGCATATTTACCTATGTTTACCATCAGTTCTGTCTTTGGATTCACCCTGAAGACTCCAGCCCCCTTGCCCTTGTCGGTTTAGGAACCATCAGTTTGCCTTTAACTGATCTCCTTTGGCCCATTCTTCCCATTCTGGTATTAGCATCTTGTACTTTTAGTAAAATGGTATTTTGGAGTAGTGGCATTGATTAGCAGTCTAATATGGCATCTGCCTGTATCACCTCCTTGTTTATTTACATGACCTATCTTTGCAGATGGTTGTCCATTTATGCGGCTGTGAACTCTGCTCCTGGTTTCTCATTGGATTAAAATATGAAGTAGTCGGAGGTTTAACAACATCTCCAGATTCTTAGTTGGCGTTGTACTAATTGCTCCAGTGGCACTGAAACAAGCTTGTCTTTGAGTGCTACTTCATAACCTGATTGCTTTGGCCTGCAGAGTCTTGGTCCATGACACCACCAACCCATATGTCAATATTGGTCTCAAGATGCAGTTCTCTAGCCATATGTTCATTTTGGGGTTTAATCCCCAGTTGTTGGTGCAAAGCCTTCTGCACCTCCCCCAGGCAATTTTGGCTCTCTGGGTGATTTTAGTTAAATGTGGATTCCATGTGAGACACTGGTCTAGTGTGATCCATATATTTGGCCTCCTTGGAAAATGGGATCGGGGTTCCGTTTAGACTTGGAGGTTTTAGGCTTCCTATTGTCCTCTTCCTTGTGAATCATTATGGTTTTGTGGAGGTAATAGATAGCTCTTCCATTTTGCACCACTTCTCAACCAGGTGAAGGGCATCCTCAAAAAGAAGGAAGAGGAGTAGCAATTTAAAAAAAATTAAGATTCTATTGGGTTGTCCGGAAAATAATGCAGGATTTTAAGTTTTCATTAAAAAAAATCTATATAAAATATTCTGTTTACGTTTACAGGATTACTCATTTGTATGAATGTCAACACTTATTAATCCTCTTCCAAATGATATTGTTTGTTTACCTCTGTAGCATTCCGCTACTTGGAAATAATTCAGTCATCCTTATAATGTCAAAGCGAGAATTTCGTACGATTTTCTTTTACGAGTTTAAACTCGGCCGAAGCGGAGCCCAAACGGCTAGAAACATTAACCAAGTCTGGGGCGAGGGTTGTGTTAATGAGTGCACTGTGCAAAGGTGGTTTAAAAAATTTCGGGAGGGAGATTTCAGCCTTGAAGATGAAGAAGGTCGTGGAAGGCCTTCCTCTCTTAATGATGATGTTCTGCGATCAGTGGTGGAAGAAAACCCCAAAACAACTGTTCGAGAACTTGCAGAGCAACTCAAAGTCAGTAAAACGACCGTCGCTGACCACCTCAAGGCGATTGGAAAAGTGAAAAAACTCGAAAATTGGGTTCCACACTCATTAAACGATCGCCAAAAAAATCAGCGCTTTGATGTTTGTGCATCACTTCTTTGTCGAAACAAAAATGACCCATTTCTGGCCAGAATTGTTACATGTGACGAAAAGTGGATTCTGGACAGTGGCTCGACAAAGGAGAAGCTCCAATACATTTTCCAAAGCCCCCAACTCATCAAAAAAAGGTAATGGTTACGGTATGGTGGGCTTCATTTGGTTTAATACACTACAGCTTCTTAAATCCTGGCGAAACCATCAATGCTGAATCATACTGTAACCAAATTAATACCATGCATCAGAAATTGGCAGTAATGAAGCCCTCTTTGGTCAATCGGAAAGGGCCCATTTTGTTGCATGACAACGCTCGACCACATGTGTCACGTGTAACGTCACAAAAATTATTGGAGCTTGGCTATGAAACTTTGCCTCACCCACCCTACTCTCCGGACCTCTCGCCTACTGACTACCATTTTTTTAGACACCTGGACCACTACTTACAACACATAATATTCAAAAATCAAACGGAACTGGAAAATGCATTTATTGACTTTATCAATTCTAAAAATTCTGAATTCTACTCAGACGGAATTAATAAGTTACCAACACGTTGGGAGAAATGTATTGATTTTGATTAAAGAACATTGCTTTAAAGTAACTAGTTTCTTTTTTTTTGTTTAATACCAAAATCCTGCATTATTTTCCGGACAACCCAATAACTGGTGTAAAGACATGTTAAGCAATACTTGTTCAATTTTTCATCATGTCATCAAAAATAATGTCAAGATAAAGTAAACCTACAATTAACAATAACAAATTGTAAAATATTGTACTTAGTCCAAAAGGTGTTTAATATGCACCTTGATCATCTCTGATCATCATGGACTACTTATTATCTCAGGTTTACTCTGTGATACACATTTCAAGAATTTTCTTTGGAGAAGCGCTCTGTTTGGAATTTAGACATTCCCAGACTAATTTGGGACTAAAACCAACAAATTTAGTGTTTTTATAGCTGCCTTGTTGACCAGATGTGTGAAAAAATCCATGCACCCTTCATTTTCTTCCATTACAATAAAAATTATTCCTTGGGTTATAAATTTCTAAAAATTTATGATACAATACTTTTAAATTTATCATGAAATAATACGTTGCCAATGATAGTATTTTTTTCTTCATTAAATGCAGATTTAATTGACCAACTAATCTAGGTCAATATGTTGCAGTGACAAGTTTTTTGGTATAAATTGAACATTACAATAACTATTAGTGATAAGATTAAAAATTGTTATTCAATTATGGTACGATTGTTCTACTTTTATTAAAAAATAAAGAGTTGCCATTGTCTGTAGTTTTTAATAAAAACAGGTTTTAGTTTCCGATTAATTTAGGTTAATATAATGATGGGTTTTTGGGTTTGGGTTGACATTACAATAACTGTTATATTTTAGATTATAAATTGCTAAAAATATATTATTATACCTCACATATCAAATACACTTTTGATTGATAGCCCTCAGAGGGTCTGGCTCATAGAAGAGGGATTATCATCATCTGATTTAGAATAGGCCATGGAAGGTTGACGAAGACTACTCTTGGGCCAAAGCAAACTTACGAGCCTGGCATGTAGGAAAAGGTCCGAATATGAGAATTGTGCATGAGCATGGCAGTGAGATTTTTTGGAAGAAACAGGGCTGTTTTATTGTACAGTAATATCTTGTATTGTTTTCCATTTTGTGTATATTAGGATTGAATGTATTTATTAGCGTGAATATGTAATGTGAGAGGGCTGATGTTAGAATATTGAGTACCATCGACCCTTGAGTGAATGGTATGTAAATAGAAAATAATGCATTTAAGAATGAGTGAGAGTGTGAGTGTGCTTGGATTGAGTCTGACTGAGTGGGGGCTGAATCGACCTAGTTGATAGATGCCGGAACCCAACCTCGGTGGCTGGACGGTCAAGACCGAGGTTTGGCCCCGGACTGCCAAAACCAAGGGCAGGGGACTCTCGAGGTCTGTCAGTAATTTATTGCAAATCGCATAAAAGCTTATACGATTATCCTGAATTTATCGACAAAAGTCGAGTTGCCACTAATCGTAAATTTTTGAAATTATTTTAAATTTAATTGACCTAATTCTCAATCAATAAAACACAATGGCAAATATTTGGTTGAAATTGATCAATGTATCAATCCAGATTATATTTAAAAAATGTATTTGAAAAATTGATTATAAAAAAATTAATCCAAATCTACTTGACTTATTATTTTTCAGTCAGTTCAATGAAGTGGTGAATTTTTAGATTTAAATTAAAATGATCAATCTTATTATTTGATTTAATTAAATACTTAATTTATAAAAACTTAAAAATTAAAATGATTGAATGAACTATTGCAAAAATTAATTTATGTTTGTTAGGTATAAGTTATGATCGAGCATAGTGTTCCTTTGAGTTTTTTCTTTGGAAAAAAATTAATTTTGCAATGCCTCCTAGATATGAAGTAGTTGTAAAAAAAGTCTACTCACTGGTAGTTTGAACATCTCCTGGAGTCGCTGTTGTGGATCTGAGCCCTTTTTGGACCTGATGAGCAAGTAGAGCATCTCCGGCTCGCATTTCCTCAGCAGTTGCTCGACGAGGAGCTTACCGATGAAGCCGGTCGCTCCTGTGATGAAGACGTGTTTCCCCTTGTAGAACTCGACGATCTCCGATCCGCGCGTGTCTAGAGCCATGGTCGCTTCAGCAGTACCTTGAATCAGATCGGTGCCGGTTGTAAAAATGATCCGAGGATTTGAAGACGGCCGGATTTAAACGGCCTCGTTAATTGCATACGCCATCATGGACGATAACAACTTTTAAATATGTTTTCCCACTTTTTCAACCGGCGCAATATCTAAGCCTATTAGGGAAAAACGGGGGTTTTAAAGCGATGACAACAAACAACCTAGGTCATGGGTATTTTCTCATTTCCCATATTAATTTAGTGTTGTGTAAATTATCAATTTCCCCAGACCCTAGCTAATAACCCTGCGAACAACCCTCATCAAAATAATTTAGGGGGTAAATAAAATTTAATAAGTACCAGATAAATCAGAAAAAAGTTGTCGATTAAATTGAAGTAATTATAATATAAAAATAAATAATAATAACTAGGCGATTAATCATTGAAATATTTTACATTTAAATGAAAGAAATTAGCCGACAAAATATTTAATTACAACATATTTAATTAATAACTAAGTTTAAAAACAAAAAATACAAATAAACATTTTTGAACATAGGGCTCGTAAAGAAGGGTCACATCCGATTAAGGATAGGCCATGCGAGGTCATCTCACGGACTTACTTTTGGGCGAAAGCCCACGCGTATGTGTCCGGTATGCAGAGAAAGGTTACTCGACATGTCCCTCCTAATTGAGGGGAGCGATTCGTCGGCTCAACACAGAGAGTGAAGGTATTTATTACCGTGAATGTGTAGTGTAAGAGGGCCGAGGCGGAATATTGAGTACCCTATCGAGGGTAGTGAGGAGAATATCGAGTACTCCGCTACATTTAGCGTTTTTACAGTCCGTCCAATTAAATATATATATTCGTCAAATCAAATTATTATAATTATGACTAATTGGTGGATTTTCATCAGAATTAGCCGAATTAGAACATTTGAACATTTTAATTACAAATATAAGCATTGGTAAAATAGTATCAAACATAATTAAGCATAGGCATACTATACACACACAGAAAGACACAAAAAAAGGAGAAAAAAGTAACAAACTGCAAAGAAAGAGAAAGAGAGAGAGAGAGAAAGAGAGAGAGAGAGAGAGAGAGAGAGAGAGAGAAAGAGAGAAAGAGAGAGAGAGAGTGATTTACTTAAACAAAAAGAAAACGAAATTGATTTAAAAAAATCTAAAAATTATAAATTTCATTTTTAATTAAAAATTGATCTTTCTAAATGTCCAAACCTGTCTACCATCTTGTTTTAAATTAAACGATTAGTCAAACGTTAATTAAAAATCAATTTACACGTAATTAAATTAATATTTTTATTAATTAAATGGTATAATGATCAAGCTACAGAAAAAAAATTCACCCAAATTTCCAGACTTTTGATATAACAGTGGTTTCAAATATAAACCAAAACAAAACAAGCTTCGGTGACACCCCCCGGGTAACAAACTAAATAATTTGAACTAATCGCATTAAAATAAATCATCGAAAAGAGCGTTAAGTTTCCTTTAAGAAGGCAGCCTTCTAAAACCTTCAATTTGATATTTGGTAAAAACCCCAAATATTTTAAAAATTTCCAAAGTTAAAATACATAAAAAAACTAAATTTGCAATTTCATTGAAAAAATCTACAATGGAGCTTGACAAATTCCAAAACAATTTCTTGGAAACAAAACGCAGACATTTTGTCTTAAATGGGACGGTGTGAAAAAATGTAGAATGAGATTAATCTAGCAATTCAACTTTTTGTCTTGGACAAAATTTATTTTTCCTACTTTAACTTGATAAAAAAGCACAAAAAGCGAGAAAAATGAAACAAAACATATAAAAAAAGAGACAGCAAACATGAACAACCAAAGCAGAAAAATTGGACGAAATATCTATACTAAACGCAGATAAAAAATATACACAGAAGATGTAAAACCCAACATTAACCATAATAAAAAATAAAAAAATCAACGAAATTTTGTTGATGTTTCTTGTCTCCTTTTTATGTATTTTGTCCAATTTTCTTTTTTTGTGTGCTTTTTTATTAAGTTAAAGTCGGAAAATAAATTTTGCCCTGGACAAAAAGTTGCATCGCAAGATTAAACCCATTCCCCTTTTTAACATCGTCACAACTTTTTTCCTAATTTTGTTCTTCAAAATTTCTGCATTTTGGTCCGAAGTAATTAAAGAAAATGCTATACCGCTGAAAGCTTATTAAACGAAGAAGTTGTCATGAATTTTGCCAAAGTTCCATCGTGAATTGTTCCACTGCAGTGGCAAATTTATTTATCTTTTACAGTTTTACAGAACAGTCCAAAAGAACTCACAACTGTTTTCAAATACGCCATTTTTCTACTTTCCAACATGATACCGTTTATAAAGAAGGCCAAAAGACAAAATAAAATTCCCAAATAAATTGCATCACCAGATCTAGACCTCTCGAACTAATCGCATTAAAATAAATTATTTAATGGTATATTTCTATAAATTTGTTCTAAGCCATCTTGTTCCATAGTAAAAAAAAAAAAATACTTTCATTGTAAAAGCTGGAGGATATTTCACGTCTGTGAAAAACCCCCCGTCGACCTTTCAAGTTCATCCGTGTGTTCTGAAGGAACGGAAAAATACCAGAATGGGAAAAAACAGATATTAGACACCAGATTAATCATTCCGGTTCGTAGAAAAAAACACCGTTACTCTATGTAAAATTACCCAACAACAACCTGTTAATCTAATTTTAATTGGTTTCCGGAAGACTAATCTGCCACAGAATCAGCTGGGTGTTTGTTTGCGTCCGCTAATCATATGTATTCGTTTAGAAGGCAATTTAGTATTAAAAAATATAAAACAAAATTATCAAGTTAAAACAATAATAAATTCAATGAAATTCTAATTGTTATAGTTATAATAATGAAGGGTGTTCGGTACTCTATACTCGTGATACAAACTTTGCCAGTAGATTCTATATTCAAAATGGAACCAAAAAGTCCTAATTAACTATGATCCGAATCTCAACAGTTTCGGAGTTATACCACTTTTTCTGATTTTTGAAGATTTCACGACCTTGCGTCTAATAAACAATGATAACTCCAAAACTGAAAGGTTTTGGACAAATCTATTGATATCATTGAAAACTAGGTAAATTTTCAATAAGATTTGATTAATACTAAACTTGTAAACGTTGGTGAAATAAAAGTTTTATTAGCCAGAACTTTGAAATTTTTTTTTTTTTTCAAATCGTGATTCTAAACTACTATTTCCAAACCTAGAGACCAGCAAATTTCAGAAAACGTACTCCATTTAATATCCTTTTTAGTGGTCTAATTACTTTTTTCAAAGATGAAGAAAATGATGAAGGAAAGGTAAAAAAAATTGGTTGAAGGATTGGTAAGGTGGAAAGATTAAAAAAAGTGAAAATCTTAAGGAAATTTTGAATGAATTTATTAAACGTTTTTTTAATTTGGGTTCGAAACCGAAATAGTGCAATTGTTTACTTATTTACCAACACGACTGCAATTTTGATTAAAGGATTATTGGATTATTATTCTCCGAAATAAAAGAGTTTTAAGATTCAAAACGTTTTTAGTTCATTCATTCAGAATTTCCTAACGTTTTTTTATTATTATTAATTTTTCCACTTTAACAATCCGTCAACCAGGGTTTTTTTTCCTCTCCTCCGTCAATTTCTTCATCTTTGATAAAAGTACTTAAAAAAGAAATTACAACACTAAAAAGGATATTAAATGGAGTAGGCTTTCTGAATTTAAAAAAATGTTTGGAAATAGTATTTTAGAATCAGTATAGTAAGTTTTTCAAGACTGAAAATTTTTTTTTCAAAGTTCTCGCTACTAAAACGCTTATTTCACAAACGTTTAAAAGTTTAGTATTGATCACATCAATAATTTAACATACTTTTCAATGGTATCAACGGATTTGAAACAAACCTTTTAGTTTTGGAGTTATCGTTGTTCATTTGAAGCAAGATCGTGAAATCTTAAAAAATCAGAAAAAGTCAAAAAACTCGCAAACTGTTGAGATTCAGACAATAGTTAATAAGGATTTTTGGTTCCATTTTGAATGTAGAATCTACTGGTATTTCTTATTGTTTTTTCATTTCTTATGGTTTTTATTGTCTTTGTTGTATTTGAAAAAAAAAATTATAAGGGCTGTAAGGGCTTTTTTTTCAAGTTGAAAACTTATAATGATTTTAAACTACTATTTCCAAACCTTCCAACAGCTCATTTCAGGAAACGTACTCCATTTAATATCCATTTTAGTTGTGCGATTGCTTTTTTAATTACTTTTTTCAAAGATGAAGAAATTGACGGAGGAAAGGAAAAAACCGTGGCTGACAGATTGGTACGATGAAAAAAAAAATATATTTTGAATTAATTTATTAAATGTTTTTTTTTTTTACTTTGGGATCGAAACCGAAACAGTGCAATTGTTTACTTATTTACCAACACGACTGCAACTTTGATTAAAGAATTATTGTATTCTCCGTAATAAAAGAGTTTTAAGATTCAAAACATTTTTAGTTATTTATGTGATATCTTGTTAAAACTATTGCTACTTTGTCTAATGAAGAATACACTGATATATATCTTTCAACCTCGGTTTTTTTCATTTCCTGCACCAATTTCTTCATCTTTGAAAAACTTAATTAAAAAAAGCAATTGGACCACTAAAAAAGATATTAAATGGAGTTTTTTGAAATTTGCTGTTCCCTAAGTTTGGAAATAGTAGTTTAGAATCGCCATAGTCACTTTTTCAACATTGAAAAATGGCAAAAAGGAGGGAAAATTCAAAAGGTGGGGTTGAGATGGGAGGTTGGTTCGAATCCCACTGTGACACTGACTTTTGTCAACCAATACCTTACACAAAGATTAAATAAAAGATTGTTTATAACATTATCAATTGATTTTATTTTCAAATAACTGCCCAATAACTAGTAATTATAGAGAAGTATGAATGTGCGTTAATATTACTGGTTTTATTTTGTCTTCATTGAGTTTGAAACACTAGTTCCTACTGGCACTGGTCTCCAAAGAACAATTTTCCGCAAAGAACGCCTCAGAATATCACGGAATGAGATATCAGTTGGTTATTCAATAAAAAAGTGCGTAAAAGCTTAAGTAAATTATCCGCATAATGTAAATTTCAGCACGTATTTTTCGAAAGGTGATCTTGCAAAAAATATTGAATTTAGTCTGCGTCTTGATTGTGAATCATGTATGTGCGGGTAGTTTCCCTTTTGTATATATAAAAATTTAAACACTCATGCAATTTTTTTAAGCCTTTCAAAAGACATAGCTTGAAGATGTACTACAAAATAGTAGTGGCAAAAATCAGCTATCATTTTATTACTAAATGAGTTCTTTTCGTTTGGTACTTGTCATTTTAACATTTTAAACGTTTTCGAGAATAGCTGTTCCACCAACGAACTTTCAAAAAGTTTAATAATAATAATAATCCATTATATTTTGTGGCCTATGGACCAAATTACTTCTTTCAATTAATCAATCTTTTTATGTAAGGTTTTTGGTTGAAATGAAAAAGTTAGTGTCACGAGCGGGATTCGAACCCACGACCTTCGGTTCAATATGCCGCTGCTCTACCAATTGAGCTATCGTGACTTCGATCCACTCGGACCAGTGAACCATCCCGCTCGTGACACTAAATTTTCTTCAACCAATAATAATAATAATAATAATAATAATAGAGATTAATTAATTGAAATTTGTTCTATATATTCAATACCGCAATCATTACAATTCAATTCGTAAACCCTGCTTTATGACCAGTTTCAACTTTGTTTTTAGATTTTGAGATGTTTCTAAGCGACACTATTACTTGTTACAAAAATTGTTGGTAGTAATATTTATAAACAAAAAAATAAGAAAACCAATAGATGAAAAAAATTGTTTTAATTTCTATAATTTATTCAAAAATATAAAACAAAAATTTGATTTAAGCCAAAAGATACTGCCCTCAATGCTTGCTCACAAATAGCTGAAATAAAAAACAAAAAATATTATTAAAAAATAAATAAAAGAATATAAAAAAGAAACGGTGTAAAAAGTGCTTACGGGTTTATTCCTGCTTTGACTGTTGATGCATACCATTTGGTCCGCTCCACGATCTCTATAGTCTTCCAGTGCTTTATGCACTGCAGGCAAACCCCCATGTTTGTGTAAAAAAGGGCCAATTGCATAAAATACATTTTCTAATTGTTCATTGCCAAGAATCGCCGTTATTTCGTCGATCGACAGATACATGAATTCTTCTTTAAGTTCGCGATCAACTCCACTGCAGTTATCCGTGATTTTGTCCAACTTGATCTTTTTCAGTTCTTCCAATGAAAATGTATTACCTTGCTTATCATAAACCACAACTTCTTCTATCTCCTCTTCATCATCTCTCCAGTATTTCCTGCTGATAAACCAACTCGCCGCACCAACTAATGCTGCAGCTGCAGCGACGATTATACCAGTTTTACCACTTAATGAAAACATTATTTGATAATATCGAAGATATTTCAAATAACACCGAAAATCATCACCATAGAAACGACAAGTAAAAATACGAAATAAAATAAATATTAATTTTTTTTATATAATTTTTTTTTTACATCCACGATTTTTATTTTTTTATTTTATTCAATGCCTCTTTTTTTTTCTAAGCCCATTTCTAAGTATGTCGGGTTATTCGAACCCGGGACCTTTATCTTACAGTTATGAGCGCTGTGCCAACGCCTAAACTCCCACCGACGTTAGAGAGAGACCTGTTGAGCCGAAGGTCGTGGGTTCGAATCTCGTGACACTTTTTCATTTCGATCAACCCTTGCATAAAGATTAACTTTTTAGATTGGTATGACGTTTTACTTTTGAAGGGATGTCGTTTGTTGAATTTATTGACGTGTCGTTTGTATTACATTTGTCTTCTCCTTACTAGTTTATTGATGCATCTGTGGTTCCTATGTTTTTTCTGTTTTTTTAACCCTCATGAAATTTTTTAAGCCTTTCAACTGGCATGGCTTGAAGATGTACTACAAAATATTAGTTGTAGTGGCAAAAATCAGCTATCATTTTATTACTAAATGAGTCTTTTTCGTTTGGTACTTGTCATTTTAACATTTTAAACGTTTTCGAGACTAGCTGTTCCACCAACGACCTTTCAAGATCGTTTAATAACAATATGAATCCATTATATTTAGTGGCCTATTGACCAAATTACTTCTTTCAATTAATCAATCTTTTTATGTAAGGTTTTTGGTTGAAATGAAGAAGTTAGTGTCACGAGCGGGATTCGAACCCACGACCTTCGGCTCACTACCCCGCTGCTCTAACCATTTGATCCCGATAGCTGGTTAGAGAGCGGCGTATTTAGCCGATGGTCGGGGGTTTGAATCCCGCTCATGACACTAACTTTTTCATTTCAACCAATACCTACCAATACCCATAAGGATTAATTATTGGAAAAAAAAATATTTTTCAATATTCTAGCTACTAAAACGCTTATTTCACCAACGCTTACAGGTTTACAAATGATCACATCTTATTGGATATTTAATTTATTTTCAATGGTCTCAACGGATTTGTCCAAAACCTTTTAGTTTTGGAATTATCATTCTTTATTTGATGTAAGGTCGTGAAAAAATCATAAAAGAGGGAATTAACCCGGAAACTGTTGAGATTCAGACCATAGTTAATTAGGACTTTTTGGTTCCATTTTGAATGTAGAATCTACCGGCAAAGTTTGTAACACGAGTAGCCGAACAAGTTGTATAATACCATCGGCTAAGATGTTAAATACCTTGGAATGTATCTGGATCCAGACTTAATTTTAGTTACCGCATTGACCATCTTAAGAGAGTTCATGTATGGACAGTAAAAATAAAAAACTTATACGAAGTATAAATACGTCCATTAATAACTTACAGTGCTCCCATATGTCTTATATGTCTAAGTCCAATTTTGCTAAGCTCCAGAAAATCCAAAAAATGATTCTCTAAAAATTATTGGAGGGTATCCTAATAAGACTCGGATACATGCATGTAGTACTAAACATACCTAGGTTAACAACCCACATCTATAGAAAATATTGCAAAATTGTATTATCCATGTATAAATAGCCCCCAAATGTAAATGTAAAAAATCATTTTATTTATAATTCAACTACCGATACAAACATAAAAGACTTAAGCACATATTTAGCCATAAACTATAAAATGTTCAAGATTTTTATGAAATACTACTTTACAATCCGGCGTTGCCCAGTAGAATAATAAAATCGATATAATTCCACATTTTACAAAAAGTAAACGAAGATCTGTGTGGTGATTAGTGACCGTTAATCGATATTAATGTAGAAATCGAGAGATGCGGTCTGGTGTGATATAGGTTTCAGAAAAACATTTTCTTTATCGTGCCAACGTTTCGATCTTTATTGAGATCATCTTCAGGGCTCAAAGTGTTTGTCTNAAGAAAATGTTTTTCTGAAACCTACATCACACCAGACCGCATCTCACGATTTCTACATAAATAAACGAAGATCCGAGACTCGCTCCTTCAGGCTACTACTTCCGTCAGAAATTAATTCGCCTGCCTGTATAACTTGATAAAAAGAACATTTAATCAACCTTAAAACATTTAACTTGATTTTTATTTCAGTGCAGTATTATAATTTTAACTGTTTAGATATTTTCTGCTATTTGTTCTTTACAAATTTTCGTAGATTTCGTAGGTGATAGACTGTCTGGATCTAGTTACAGTGGAAAACGTATCAATTGAACAAATACTTTTCCTTTTGCTTTTGTAGGTTTGCACAATTTTTCTTAAGCCGGTCTCTCAAGGCAGAGCGAAGCGTTACGGACCGCGTATCATCCTACATGTCCGAAAAAGTGAAAGGAAGAAGTTTTGTTAGAATTTTTTTTTTTCTCCGGGCAAACGAAAACGGTGAAAATGTTTGTCCCTTTTATTCCGTACCGGAACGTGCTCGAGAAGCTTGTCTCCTCTTGACGGCATCGTATTGTGAAAAAAATCCACATATTTCAAAATTTTGTTTCACTTTTTTTTTTTAAATGAGAAAAACAGAACATAATGCTGGGGAAATTTTAGTTAGACCTTACGGCTCAAACCTCTTTGCTAGGCCAGTGTTTAATAAAAAAGAATTAATCCTATCAATAATCTGGGATATTCAGACATTTCCTAACATGTGTCTATCAGTAAATACATCGATTGTAATCAATTATCTCAGTGTTATTTTAAAAATTACCGTTAATTATTTTACCGAGTTTTACAATGTATTTACTGAATCATTCATTAACCCAATTGATTCATTCAAACATTCAATAACTTATAGATCATTAATTAACAATAGTCCTTCTACACACATAATCTTTTACAACCTAATCGACAGTTCATTAATTCAGTCATTCACTAACTCATTAGATCATAAACTCACAGTAATCATTCGCAAAATCATTCGTTAGTTCATTCATTTAATTATCAACACACTTCTTCATTTACTAACTCTTTGCATAAGCAATAATTCTTCTATTTACATAATTGTTCACTAACCAAAAGAGTATTTCAGTTCTTCCGTCATTCACTAACTCATTAAATCATCAACTCACAGTAATCATTCGTTAGTTCATTCATTTAATTATCAACACACTCCTTCATTTACTAACTCTTTAGATAAGCAATAATTCTTCTGTATAAATAATAATTCACTAACCAAAAGATTATTTCACTCCTTCAGTCATTAACTAACTCATTAGATCGTCAACTCACAGTAATCATTCGCAAAATCATTCGTTAGATCATTCATTTATTTATTAACACACTCCTTCATTTACTAACTCTTTAGATAAGCAATAATTCTTCTATATACATAATCGTTCACTAAGCAAAAGAGTATTTCAGTCCTTCCGACATTCACTAACTCATTAGATCATAAACTCACAGTAATCATTCGTTAGTTCATTCATTTAATGATCAACACACTCCTTCATTTACTAACTCTTTAGATAAGCAATAATTCTTCTATATACATAATCGTTCACTAAACAAAAGAGTATTTCAGTCCTTCCGTCATTCACTAACTGATTCGTTAGTTCATTCACATCATCATTCACACCTTCCTTCATTCAAACCTGTTCGATAATTATCTTATTGAATCATCCAGTCACCTACGCATTTGCTGGCGTAATAGTGCTTCTTCACAGATCATTCACTACCCTAATCAATCATTCATTTATTTAGTGATTCAATACCCTAATAGATAGTTTACTTATTTAGTTTTTCACGTCATTCACTTTACATTCATCAACTCATTTGATCATTAGCTCTATTATTCAGTGACTTACAATAGTCCATCCGCACACTTAATCATTCACTTACCAAATCGATATTTCACTCATTTACTCATTCACTAACTCATTCGCCAGTTAAATCATTTAATCATTCACGCATTTTACCCATTCACTAACTTATCCGATCGTCAACTCGCTCAATCATTCAGTGATTTACGTATGCACTAGTCAGATATTTTTTTAAAAGGCTTTATCATTCACTAACCTAATAGATCGTTCACATATTCACTTCACTACCGTATTCATTAGTTCAGCCACTCAATCATTTAAACAATCATTAATTCAATAATTCGTTTGATCATCCGCTTATTCGTTCATTCAGTGACTTACGCATTCAATGGTCTACACTCTTAACCATTCACACCTTACACATTCATTAATTATTGCCACATTTACCATGGTTTTGGTAATCCTATTTGTCGAATTTTGATCTTTTTGCTTTCTTTTGTCAATCCACGACCTACCGAACATATCAAGCTCATCCGATTATCTCAAATAGATCATTTTGACCAAGTATCTCAGGGTTAAGGTAAAATCCATTTTTCATAATTCGATCTCCTTGATAGTGGAAAAATTTGAAATTTTATTTTCGTCCTTGACCAACTGGGACAGATCAGAGGTGTCTTAAAATCAGTCGATAAACCAATCGATTTTTAAATTTGTAACTTTTACACAATCGTTGAAAAGTGTCGTAGAAAACATTAGATAATTTAAACATACTATTTTGCATCTCGACCAACCAAAATTCAAATTATTTATGAAAGTATTTAAGCATTGTTTGACAATCTCAGGTTTTATTCTGATATGATTTTGGAATTGAATATACCGTGCAAACGAGGAAGTCATGATTTAGCATTCCAATATAAATTTAAAATGTCGGAATTTGTAATTTCTGCATATATAATTGGCATTTAATTTCCCCTTGAGGAACAGAACAACCTTAATCGAAAACATAAAGCCTTAACCCTAAAAAATAATAAATGGGTTTTATTTAAAAAAAAAAAAAAAAAAAATCGAGGGGGCATTCTCTACTGAGAGAAGTCGGTCCAAATTAATTATGTCTGGTCTATACTGTTAGTTTTTGACACGGGATGTATAAACCCTAGAATCATTGGAAACCGGGATGATAAAAAATACTTTAAAAAAATTGGTCGAGAAGCTTTGGAGACAGTAAAGGAAATACAAGGGCGTCCAACTGGGGAATTGGTGCAAGGTCTGCAAGGTAAAGGACTTGGCGAACTAAGCTACGAATAAAATAAAGTAGAAAGAGAAAGCAAGAAGCAATAAAAAAAAATCACTTCCGTCACAAATCAGAACCAAAACAAACCCGTACTTTAATTACTACTAATTAAATCCCATTGTGCATTAAAAAATGAATATTGAAAAATGAATGGCTAGTTCTTTTGTTTGTAATTTATGATTGACTGTTAATATGAACTTTATTTGTCAACATATTTTGGCATGGAGTTTGAATAAATTTTGCCTATTTATAATCAACTGTTTTGGTCATTCGATTCATTGTTCTTGTTTAGATAGTGTCCTCCACACTGATTTTTTTTTTTTTTTTTTTTAAGGACATGGTCAAATCTGAGCATTGCAACCAAAGAATTGAAAAGCCAGGCGAGATAAAATTTCGATTTCTAAAAGAAAAAGACCTTCGCTCAAACAAATGCTCTTTCTTGCATAATCTTTGCATTTTGGTCTGAAAAGTTTGGATTTTCATGGCTTTCACACCAGAGAATACTAGTTCGACAAATAAATAATTTTTTTTCTTAAACAATTAAATATTTTTACATACTGTAAAACGTGCTTAAGCAGCTGGAATCAATTTCACAATTTGAATAGTCTGTTTCCAAAAGCAATACTGGTGAAAGTTGTTTATCACTGCATAACTTTATAACTCTAGTAATTGTTTTTTTTTCCTCTTCGCAAATAACAATTGTAAATATTTTGTCATTAAGCACTCGTAACGTTAAAATTTTTCACCCTTAATAATTCTTAATCTTTTGATAAAAATAGTTTGGAAAAGTCATAAACGACCGATATAATCGATGTTTTTTTTCACGGTTTTACAAATGTTTGAATCGAATGATACCATTAAAAACATTAATAAATGATTAATAATAATTAGGAAAATGTAAATAATATCGTTATTATTGTTTTTTCTAACTTGTTTTCTAAGCTTGCCAAAAGTATTTATGTATTGTCATTATTTTCTTAATTACAATACTTTTTGGAAAAGTAATTAATTAAAATAAGTAAATGTAGTAAAAAGCAAATTTCATGATAAACACGGAAGAACGCGTTTGTCAACAATTATAAATAGTGTTTTAAACGCGCCGTCTAAAATTAAGCAAAATTGAGCATCATTTTTAAACTTTCTCTTTCTATTATGCTGTTTTTAAGGAAAATATACAGGGAGCCCTTTATAGATGATTTGAACGGATAACGTTTTTGAAAAATTAAAAAATAAGTGATTATTATTTTTTAGTCGTTTTAAATGTTTTCCCCCTTTTTAAAATATTTCTTGTCAGGATACTCCCGAGCCAGTACAACTATGAAATTTTAATTGAGAACTTATACTTTTATACTCGCTGTTTTAAAGGAATTTTTACAGTGAAAACGATGCCTCATCAGATTTTAAATTCGTTAAAGAATAACAAAGTTATGACACATAATGTGAAAAGAAATATTTTAATTTTGTTTCTATTACTAAGTATTTTCATTTGATGTTTTAGTGCTAGCGGGTTTTATGTATTTCTTGGGATGATGATGGATCTGCTGGCAGCGGTTGCGCATATTTTAGTTAAGAAAAAGCATTTTTTTAAAACAAATTTACGTTTTTCGAACATAAAGAACAAAACAAACAGCTTGGTCATTCCACCCCGAACGCATGCGAAATCTAACAACCCACATTCAATACGCATTCACACAAATAAATACATTCACACCTATATACATTGCATTCATTCTATTTAGTAGATGGTGTACTCAATATTCCACCATCAACCTGCATTCAATAATTAATTCAAACTAATTTAATTGGGTCGATGGGGGTACTTTTTTAAATATTCCCCCTTCAACCCAAGTCACGTGCACAGCTCGAGTGGCCATAAGGATGCTATTTCACCATCAGCCCCTCCCCCATTCACTCTAATAAATACACTCACTCATACAAAACTCAGAAACACAAATATTTTGACGACGGTGTTTTCTTATATTTCGACCTCAACAGTTTAACTTATTTAATTAAGGTTTTAAGTTGAGATAAAAAAGTCAGTGTCACGAGCGGGATTCGAACCCACGACCTTCGGCTTGATACGCCGCTATTCTACCACTTGAGCTATCGTGACTTCGATCACCTCGGGCACTAACTTCCCATCTCAACCCCACCTTTTGAATTTTCCCTCCTTTTTGCCATTTTTCAAATTTCGTGTAATCGGATTGAAAAATGGCAAACAGGGGGGAAAATTCAAAAGGTGGGGTTGAGATGGGAAGTTAGTGCCCGAGGTGATCGAAGTCACGATAGCTCAAGTGGTAGAGTAGCGGCGTATCAAGCCGAAGGTCGTCGGTTCGAATCCCGCTCGTCACACTGATTTTTTTATCTCAACTTAAAACCTTAATTAATTGAATGTTATTAATTGGTCAAGCGGACCACGAAAAATAGTGAGTTTAACTTATGATTTTTCCTTCTTGAAGGTAGGATAATAGGTCATCTCAAAAAAACCACAACCACTTTTTATCCACAACGTTCCGGATTTATTTTAATCCTTAACCTGAGGTTCAAAATATTAAAACGTTTGTTCGTAGTCTGAATAAGTACCACACTGGCTCTTTTTTAAAATAAACTGTTATAAAATATTAATGACTAAAGACCACTGTTTTAACCATTACGTTAACTCACCTGAGGAAGGATTAAAATAAATCCGAAATGTTGTGGATAAAAACCGTTTGTGGGTATTTTGACGACCATATACAATAAAAGGTTCCCAATTCCCCAGGGAACCTGAAACTCGCTACTGGGTCCGAGAACCTTTCTTAAATCAGGCGGCATGCCTACACGCTCTCTGTATGGAGCCAAGGCTCTATTATGTGGGCCACATCGAGCAACCTTTCTCTGCATAAGGGGCACCTGTTCTCATTTAAAATTTCAAAGTTGTACTCGCTCTGAAGTAACCTGACAACAAATATTTTCAAAAAGGGGTAAACATTTGTAACAGGACTAATAAAAATTAAATTCGTATTTTTGGTTTTTCGAAAACGTAACCTCTTCAAGAGAAATTCAACCGGGCCATCTAAAAAAGGTCACCCTTTTTGGAATTATCCCTTAAATCCTGAGGACTAATTTTTGGAATTTTGGTACGTGGAAAACACGGGGGAAAAAACCCGAATGAAGTATCAATGCCATTCTGTTGTAGTTCAAATACCGTGCCATAATTTTGGTCTTCTTTAACCAATTTAAAATCTGATTGCGCCATCATTTCAGAGTAAAAATATTCTTTAAAACAGTGATAAATAAAAAATCACTTGTAGAAGCTTGAAAAGCAAGAAATGCTTACTTATTAACGCTCAAGAAATTCTAATAGAATAACAAAAGTGCCGACGAGAATATTGAAGTTTTAAAACCGGTTTTTTTACTTTAATTCAAGCAATGAGACAAACAAACATTTTAAAAGTTAAATTCCAAATTAAAAACACTATTATAAATACAAATGCAGTACATTCTTAACGAATTATACAGATTTTTTTTTTTATTTAGCTGGCCTCAGCGAATAGCATGCATATTAGTACACGTTTTAAAGACTGTCGATGTCCTTTTTAGTTACGTAAAAGGGAAAAGGGCGTTGCAAAAATAAGCAAATGATCCGAAGCCGTCTTGCAAATGGAAAACAACCGGAGAATCCGTTACTACTGTGAAAATCGGGTTTTGAAATGCACCGACAACCCCCAGCACCGTTTCAAATTGGAACGTAATGTTTTTTTCAATTTTAAAATACGCCCTCATCACGGTAAGGTAAAGGTCCCGGGTTCGAATAACCCGACATACTTATAAATGGGCTTGGAAAAAAAGAAGAAAAAAAAAGAGGCATTAAATAAAATAAAAATCGTGGGTGTAAAAAAAATAGAATTTATTTTATTTCGTATTTTTACTTGTCGTTTCTATGGTGATGATTGTCAGTGTTATTTGAAATATTTTTGATATTGTCAAATAATGTTTTCAATAAGTGGTAAAACTGGCATAATCGTCGCTGCAGCTGCAGCATTAGTTGGCGCGGCGAGTTGGTTTATCAGAAGGAAATATTGGAGGGATGAGGAAGAGGAGATAGAAGAAGGTGTGGTTTATGATGAGCAAGATAATAAATTTTCATTGGAAGAACTGAAAAAGATCAAGTTGGACAAAATCAAAACTAACTGCAGAGGAGTTAAATGCCAACTTATAGGAGACTTCATGGAAGTGCCGAACAGAGAAATACAGGCGATTCTTGGCAATAAACAATTAGAAAATGTTTTTTATGCTGCTGGCCCTTTTATATACAAGAATGGTGGTTTGCCTGCAGTGCATAAAGCACTGGAAGACTATGGAGATGTCGTGGAGCGGACCAAATGGTATGCATCTGCAGTCAAAGCAGGAATAAACCCGTAAGGACCTTTTACAGTTTCTTTTTTTATATTCTTTTATTTATTTATTTTTTTAATAATTTTTGTTTTTTATTTCAGCTATTTGTGAGCAAGCATTGAGGGCAGTATCTTTTGGCTTAAATCAAATTTTTGTTTTATATTTTTGAATAAATTATAGAAATTAAAACAATTTTTTTCATCCAATGGTTTTCTTATTTTTTTGTTTATTAAATATTACTACCAACAATTTTTGTAACAAGTAATAGTGTCGCTTAGAAACATCTCAAAATCTAAAAATAAAGTTGACAACTGGTCATAAAGCAGGGTTTACGAATTGAATTGTAATGATTGCGGTATTAAATATATAGAACAAATTACAATTAATTAATCTCTATTATTATTATTATTGGTTGAAGAAGATTTAGTGTCACCAGCGGGATGGTTCACTGGTCCGAGTGGATCGAAGTCACGATAGCTCAATTGGTAGAGCAGCGGCGTATTGAACCGAAGGTCGTGGGTTCGAATCCCGCTCGTGACACTAACTTTTTCATTTCAACCAAAAACCTTACATAAAAAGATTGATTAATTGAAAGAAGTAATTTGGTCCATAGGCCACTAAATATAATGGATTATTATTATTATTAAACTATCTTGAAAGTTCGTTGGTGGAACAGCTAGTCTCGAAAACGTTTAAAATGTTAAAATGACAAGTACCAAACGAAAAGGACTCATTTAGAAATAAAATGATAGCTGATTTTTGCCACTACTGTTTTGTAGTACATCTTCAAGCCATGTCCTTTGAAAGGTTTAAAAAAATTTCATGAGTGTTTAAATTTTTATATATACAAAAGGGAAACCATCTGTTGTCCATTCAACAAGACGGGCCCAACTCTGAATACTTTTTTATGAGAAACAGAGCCCCAGTGGTCTTGATCGAACCTGAATACAGCCGATCAGGTGCCTTTTTAAAATAAAATTTAATTAAAGTTTTAAAAAAAATTTATTGAACACACAAGAAAATAATAATTAAAACCATATATATCTATATTATGCAGGGTGGGCGACCAAGCCCCGAGGGGTTAAATGCCTGGGTAGACTCGTACCCCATCCCTAAAAGGTCCGGGACTTGGTCGGCTCACGTGTCCTGCATAAACCTCTTGGACTAGTTCACAAACCCCAAGATTTTGGACCATTTTATCTCGGGGAGTGATTTGGTGATGTCCTCTCCTTCAAAGATTTCAAATCTAAACCTAGCATACCTATCACATTCTGCGAGGTAGTGCTTCGCCGTTTCTTCTTTTATTTCGCAGAAGCGGCAAAAGGGATCTGGTAGGATACCCATTACGTAGGTGTCTTCTCAGTGGGCAGTGGCCCGTCAGAATACCTATCAGCCTCCTAATTCCCTTCCTTGAGATAGAAAATAGCCATTTCAATTCAGCTGGTTTGATCGCCTTAACAAACTCTTTCGATTGCCTATGTCCGGGGGATAAAGTCCACTCCCTAAGGAATTGTTTCATGCCCCAGTTATTGATACTCTCTTTCGCTGTGCTCATAGAGTTAGGTAACACCGGTTGGGGCCCGATAAACGCAGTGTTAGAGCCTTCTTTGGCTAGGCCATCCGCCTTTTCATTACTGTGTCCTTTATGTGCTGGTATCCAAATAAGGGTCACCTTATTCTCAAACCTGAAAGAGATCCTATTGATAAGATCTATAGTTTCCTCCACTAGTCGTGAGGTTGATAAATCTTTGTGTAATGCCCTAAGATTAGCCTGACTGAAAATAATGATTAAAACCAATAAATTTCCTTTTAAATCTTAAACGAACAATTAAAACTTTTTATAAATTTAAATAAACAGAAATTTCCTACAAAGCGTTTGCCAGACCATTTAGAACAAGGGTGGATACGTACTCACTATTTCCAGTCAATTCGCAGTGGACCAAAGCACTCTATTTTAGGGAATATAACACTTTTGAGGATCGCACACTTCTCTTGTTTCTCATCTACACGGAATCTTGTTCACCTCTCTGACCCGGCTGTCTCTTCCCTCTTCTGTTTTATTATTTTTTTTTGTTTACTCTAAGCCTAATGAAGGCATCTAAATCATAACATTGTCACTTTGAAATGAATTGAAATGTAACACATGTGCAATTCTCAAGTCAAAAGTATACAGTTTTTCTTTCATTTTCTCTCCCAGAGACAGAGAAAAGTTCGTTTTTTCACCTCTTGCTTGTTCTCGCTTAGGCTCTCACTCCTTCCTCTATACTAATTTCATTAATTTGTAAACCGATTCGTTCACTTCTTTTAACACAATCAGTCAAAATTCTAAAAAAAGGTTAGTTCCCTCACTTAAAATCATTCACACGAACATTCGTTAAACTCGCTTAATTATTTTGACGCTTATTCATTCCCTAATATAATCTATAGTTTATTCACTTCATTTATTTACCAAATCATTCACTAACTCATACACTACTAACCAATACTCATTCATTAACCTAATCAGTACTTCATTCATTCTATCATTCACTAATTCATTCGTCACTCAATTTATTATTCACACACGCCTCCATTCGTTATCTCATTAAATAATTAACTCACGATAGTTCTTGGTACGCACATAATCGTTCACTAACCTAATGAATAGTTCACTTATTCATCCGATAGTTCAATCACTTTATCATTCACACACTCCTTCATTCACTAACTTATTTGATCATCCACTTCATTCATTCGTGCGTCATTACAGGAAATGATTAACTCATTATTTTACTTATTCACCTTTATATATTATTTATACACTTACTTACAAACTAATCCAATTTTTTAGCTCAGTTAGTTATTCAGTAGGTAGTAATAGTTAGGGCACTCACTCAATCATTCACATACGCACTGATTCATTAAACTTCTCGCTATTTCATGGTCAACCAACCAAATCATTTTTATTCATTCATACACTCATTGATTCAATTCACTCAATAGTTCAACAATTGATACAGTTAATAATTTCATTCTTATGTTTTCTCAATCAGGTTTTACCTACTTATTTCATCTTTTCATTCTTCATTTAGATATCGTGAGATGCGGTCTGGTGTGACGTACGTTTTAGAAAAACATTTTCTTTATCATGCCAACGTTTCGATCTTTATTGAGATCATCTTCAGGGTGTTGTCTTCATTTCAACAAAAAAGTTCTCTGATTTGGCCGATGCAAGTTTCTTCTCATTGTTGGCGATGTTCTTCAGAATACTCTTTGCTTGGTGTCCGTATGTAGTTCAAATCTGTTCATAGAATTCCATGTTCTTCGTCCTTCTCTTGAAGAAATGTGTGATGTTTAGTGACCGTTAATGATTATTTAGAGATCGTGAGGTGCGGACTGGTGTGACGTAGGTTTTAGAAAAAGCATTTTCTTTATCACGCCTGTGTAGCAAAGAGTATTCTGAAGGACATCGCCAACAATGAGAAGAAACTTGCTTCGGCTAACAATCAGAGAATTTTTTTGTTGAAATGCAGACAAGGCCCTGAAGATGATCTCAATAAAGATCGAAACATTGGCACGATAAAGAAAATGTTTTTCTAAAACCTACGTCACACCAGACCGCACCTCACGATCCCTAAATAATCATTGGCTAACGGTCACTAAACCCCCCACACTTCATTCTTCATTAATTCTTTCGTTCGGCCTCTTCACGCACTTAATGTCGCTGGGATTGTTTTGCCGGCAATGTATTTTGGAAGAACGAGGGACGTTTCCTCACCTCCTTCGCCTTTTATGGTCTTTTAATGGATTCAGAAGAGTTTATCACGGAAACCTCTCTGAAACGAAGGAACTAGGACACTTTCACACCATTAGGTAAATTTCGTCTAGTAATTTTGAAAACCTACAGATTTTCTATGTGTTGTGACTGGTAAGATTATGTTTTCTATGTCAACGTGTAATGAGGATTTTATGCAAAAACTGGTGAAGGCAAATCTGCAAACCAAATAACATTTCTGATATTTAACATAGGATTTGTATTATGCAAGATATTCAGTACAATGTTACGTTTAATAGATTGAAACGAGTCAGATAAGCGATTTATTTTTTTTTAATCTAAAAAACAACTTTTATATTAATATGCAAAAAGCTTGTAGAAATATCATTAAAATTTTTAACATAAATCCAAAGCCCCTGTTCGCGACCACGAAGGTTCACATAAATATTAGGACCGCCAAAACGGCCAATAAAAGCCTTAAAAGAAAACCGATTGTTTGACAAGGCTTTTCGCCCTCTTTGACCCGGCCTTGGAAAATCGCTGAGCCCGCAGAAGTGGTCAAACGTACGGTCAGCGAATATGTCATACAACAGTACATGCTTGACATTTTACTGCATATTTCTCGAGAACTATTTTCGATTTTTTTTAAAGAGGTAGGGAACTAAAATCAATAAGTAATTAAAAAAGTACAATTAGTTAGATCCGAGGTCACAAAAATAGAAAGAGTCAATGGGCACAACTAATCAAAATAACTTTCTGCTCTTGAGAGTATTTATAAGCGGATTATAAAGTCATATGAAAAAAACATGAAGCCTTATCATAGGGGACTTATGTATATTCTATGACCACATAAAAACAAATCCTTTATTGCAGATATTGTGTGTGGATTTCTGGTCAAATCCAACCAAAGCCAAAAACCTTTTTTTTCTTCCAAATTTAACGATTCTTTACAAAACTATTGTAGAATTTTTTTTCTCAAATTAAATCTGGAGTTTAGATAAGAGGTTAAGAATTTGGCGTGTTTAAACTGAAAATCCACGTACCATTCTGGCCGAAATCAGCTTCAGGGGCGTCGGCGTCTTCCCAGAGTTGGGTTTTCTGGAACGATGTTGGCCAATTGGAGGCCGATTTACTCCTGCCGGTTTTCCCATATTTTCCAGGGGCTCGGTTCGACAAACGCTGGCAAAACAAATAGAGGTCGGTTGGGCAATCGTTTTGCAAATAAGCGTTTAATTGCAGAGGAAACGCGCCCCAGCGAGAAAGGACGCGCTCGTCATGTCCAGTTGGCAAACGGGTTTATTATATCATTAAAATATTTAATTGCGAACCAGGTTTTTAACTACTCGCGTTCCTACTGCCGTAAAAAATGTGCTAAAATGCAATTTTATTGCTAGAAAAAAAGTATTATTCTCAAAAAAAAGATTTACTTTACAGAACAGAATAGCTATGGAAAACTGAACATATAAGGAAATCCAAAACCCATTTTATTAAAAATCGGTGAAAATCATCCCAAATATAATTTATTTACTTATTTACCTTAATTTCAAGTTTTATCTCTTTTTTGAACCTCAATTAATCACATTTTTTACAAAAAGAAGCACAATATGAATACGTTCTTCTATATTTTACTCTTGGGAATGATACATAAAAACATACAAAACACATCGTACGCATTCAGGGATATGAATGGGAGAGAGAGAGAGAGAGAGAGGGAGAGAGAGTGAGTGAGTGAGAGAGAATGAGTGAGTGAGTGAGGAAGTGAGAGAGTGAGAGAGAATGAGTGAGTGAGTGAGAATGAGTGAGTGAATGAGAACGAGAATGAGTGAGTGAGAGAAAATGAGGGAGGGAAGGAGTGAGTGAGAGAGAATGAGCGAGTGAGTGAGTGAGGAAGTGAGAGAGTGAGAGAGAGAGAGAATGAGTGAGTGAGAGAGAATGAGGGAGTGAGTGAGAACGAGAATGAGTGAGTGAGAGAGAATGAGTGAGTGAGTGAGAGAGAATGAGTCGAAAGAAAGAGTGAGTGAGAGAGAATGAGTGAGTGAGTGAGTGAGTGAGTGAGAATGAGTGAGTGAGTGAGTGAGATAGAGAGGGAGAGAGGGAGGGAATGAGTTAGTGAGTGTGTGTGAGAGAGAGAGAATGAGTGAGTGAGAAAAAGAGAGAGAGAGAGAGAGAGAGAGAGAGAGAAATAGGAGTAGGAAAACAAAAAAGCACATAATAACGTACAGAGATAAATAGCAAAAGGAATTTAAAATACAATTGAGAAACATATTTATAACATGTAATTGTGATAAAAGATAAAATAGAGAGAAAGTAACAAGTGTCTAAAGAGTGGAAGTGAGAGTTTGGTTTGAATAGACAGAAAAACAGATAGAATGAGAGAGGGGATGTTGTTATATGTCAAAAAGAAAATAGGTATACAGAATTGTAAGCGTTGAGGAACATCTGAAGTTAAGGGAAGGAAGGAAGATGTGTAGTAACTCCTGACAGCGACAGGTAAGGAAAGTGTTGAACCATCGGGATGTAGGAAAAAGAAAATGAGATAAGTTTGAACAGAATTGATGAATGATCGATTAAAGCTTTGGTAAAGTTATGGAGAATTAGTATCATAATTTTTGTTCCATTGTGTAGGTCACTAGTAATTTTAACGAATACGGGTTGGGAGGAGAACAATGTCAGACGCCGGAGTCGAGGGAGTTAAGAATTTTTTTTTTTTGGTTTTGGGGAGTCCCCATTGCCCATGACCCTAGTATTGGTGGAATGGTGATACCAGCAGCGCAAAACCGGAACCCGGGAAACGAGGACAAGCGCACCACCCCGGCACCACGAACGGCCGTGACGGGATGGGAGAGATGTTTTTTTTCCTCTTTCCTCACTGGAGGGCGTGGATAAAAACCATGTACATAAAAAAACCTAATATGGAAAAGTCAACGTCCTCGAGGGGCAGGGGCTAAAGCGCCCTGCATGGCCGGCGTGACGGTGAAGTGAAGGTCAGACAGCTATACCGGAAAATTTTATTTATGATATTTTACATATGATTAAAAAAAGAACTGATATATCAACTTTTATTCAGTGTTGTTTCAAGGTTTTCTTCTAAATATTCCCTTTTGAATGGGAAAATAGTGCAAAACGGCCAATCTATTCAATAATCTAAGAGATCATATATTATTCTAGAAGAATATTTCACGGTTTCACCTTTCGCAACTGCAACAGTCGTGTTAAGTTCAAGAAAAAGACCAAGAGACGAGTTCAATCATGACGTTTCGGACAGGTTTCCATTCATTAAGTCCCCCTGACTCCTCCGGCTCGATTTCAAGGGCCATGATTACGCCACAATCATGAATCACGACACGGCCAGATATAAGACTCGTTTTATTGCTCGGCTTTACGTCGAAAGAAGTCTTCGCATAGGCTTACGAGAAGTACTCCTGGCCTTTCTTCACACAATCGAGACTATACGAAAACTTCAAAGTACAAAAAAGTACCGAGATTTGACAGATACACTAATGAAATTATTGTCAATATTTCGCTGATTCATCATGTAATATAATTTAATTTTATAATAAAAATCTAGGATAAGGACAATTTGAAAGAAAATACCGGTCAGCTAGTAGTCCCTGTGTCTATTTTTTTCCATTTTCAATGCGTTTCGTATAAATTTATCAACAAGAAAGCCTTTTATAATTTTATATATAAGATTAATTTTGTATTTTAATTTTTTTATGCTTTCATCTGAAGCTTGTTTGCACACGAACCCGTGACTTTTTATTGCTTAATCTGCAACTCGGACAAATCATAAAAAACTCATAAAAATTGCAAAATACCTATTAAAAAAAGGGGGAGGCAGTTTTCTCCCATTGCTCAAAAATGTGGTTCGGATTTCGACGTTAAGTTTGAGAAAGCTCTCTCCCCGGGTGGAAATTAATTAATGGCGAAATGTCGACTCATTCGGTCCGAAAGTTCCAATTAAAACTATTGTTTCCGGATGATTCACTATCGTTTAAATTTCTTCCTTTAGAAATTTAGTAGGTCGACATCGACTTTAACGATCCGCTGTCATAATCAAGAGTTATGATTAATTAATGTCCTTGTGGTTTTTATTCAACATTTCTAATCCTAAACTCATATATGTCGTTCATGACTGTTTCTATTTATTTAATATTCTACAATTTATTAAAAAATTGGTTCATTTTGTCCAAATATCAGACTCAGTAAACCCCCCCCCCAAAAAAAAAAAATAAAAAAATTGTATTTTTTCTCAGGGAATGAACATAAATGAGTAGAATTTTATCGTTATTTGGGTAAATATATTATAAAACCTGAATTACATCTTCCCAGAACGTATAGAAAACATGGAAACAAGGCAAAATAAATGTATACATTTTCTTCACCACTTTATTTTTATTTGTCACATCATTGCTCTCTTTCTCTCTTTCTCTCTTACACTCTCTCAATCTCGCTCTATGATCTCTGTTTTAATCTTATTTCATTTTTTCTTTGTCTCCATTTATCTATCTACCTACCTCGCTTTCATTTTTCAACTCTCTCTGTATACATTTATTCTTTTTTCTTCTTCTTGTTCCCCTCTGAATCTGTTTTCGCCTTTCAACCTTTTCTTCATTCCCCTCTTTCTAAATCTGTTAAATTACTATTGATCTATCTATATTTATCTAGCTGTTTGCCTGGTATGTGAATTTTCATACATCGTCAATATTTATCTGAATTTTTTTTCTTCTTCTCGCTTCTTTTTCTATAAATCAATATATTTCTTGTCTCTCGCTCTAGCGTGTCTCCTCTCGCGTTTAGCATTTACAACAATGATCTTCCCGACTCCATTCAGCATCGCGATTACCACCTCTATGCCGACGACTCCAAAATTTATGTCCTTCCATCCAGTCTCACACTCTGAGACCTGTATTCAGACCTATCCTGACTTTTTCCCTCGTTCTGTAAGAAGTATTTGTTAAGCTCCTTCCTTTACCAATCCATAAACACTCGTCGGCCTCACAATATTTTCCCTTTACTTCGATTCAAATCTCTTATCCACACTCTTAACACCCGCTCGTTGTCCAATATCTTCCTTGTCCGCGTTTGGAGTTCATCCTAGCCGCAAAAATCTCTGGAATTCTCTTCCTACCAATCTGCAAAGCCGCCTCCCTTATCTCTTTTAAGTCCCTCTTGTATCACCTCATCTCCCACCGAGCAGAAACAACATATTCCAAAAATATTATTAGGTCCTTTTGCAATTTAAGTAAGCCTTATTCCTTCCTTTTCTTAACTTTTATGTCAACGTTTTGAGATTACTATTATTATTATCTCTAAATTTTTATATTACTACTATTATTTATATTTTCTATCATGTGATTCATTTCAATTTATGTCCCTTTATGTTAACGTCAAACCATCATTAATTGAAATTTTGGTAAAAAATTCTGTAACCTCATTGTTATTCTTATCCCCGTCCCAAAAATAATGAATTATTTTATCACTCTCTCTGTCATCTTTTTCTCTCTATCTCCTTTCTCCCTCTCCCTCTCTCTCTCTCTCTCTCTCTTTTTTTCTCTCTATCTCCTCTCTCCCTCACCCTCCCTCTCACTCTCTCTCTCTCTGTCTCTTTTTTTTCTCTCTATCTCCTCTCTCCCTCTCCCTCCATCCCTCTCTTTCGTTTCTCTCTCTCTTTTTCTCTCTATCTCCTCTCTCCCTCTCTCACTATCTCTCTCTTTTTCTCCCTATCTCCTCCCTCTCTCTCTCACTCTCTCTCTCTCCGTCTCTTTTTTTCTCTCTATCTCCTCTCTCCCTCTCCCTCCCTCTCTCTCTCACTCTCTGTCTTTTTTTCTCTCTATCTCCTCTCTTCCTCTTCCTCCCGCCCTCTCTCTCTCCCTCTCTTTCTCTTTTTTTTCTCTCTATCTCCTCTCTCCCTCACCCCTCTCTTTTCTCTCTATCTCCTCTCTCCATCTCCTCTCCCTCTCTCTCTCACTCTCTGTCTTTTTTTCTCTCTATCTCCTCTCTTCCTCTTCCTCCCGCCCTCTCTCTCTCCCTCTCTTTCTCTTTTTTTTCTCTCTATCTCCTCTCTCCCTCACCCCTCTCTTTTCTCTCTATCTCCTCTCTCCATCTCCTCTCCCTCTCTATCGCTCTCTCTCTCTCTGTGTCATTTTTTCTCTCTATCTCCTCTCTCCCTCACACCTCTCTCTACCTCTTTTTCTCTCTATCTCCTCTCTCCATCTCCTCTCCCTCTCTCTCGCTCTCTCTCTCTGTCATTTTTTTCTCTCTATCTCCTCTCTCCCTCTCACTCTCTCT